ATATCGCAGGCGTTGATTCGGTCCAGAAGGTTTTTTTGCGTCAAATCATGCGACACCCAAACATCAAGCTTTTTTTTGTATCCAGCCTTCTGCAGATGGTTTAAAATGGTTTGGTGACTAACTCCCATCTCCTGGGCGATGTCACGAGATGCCACATGTCGGTCTAACTCGATGTAGTCCGTGATTTGATCGGTATTTGTCGTCTCTGAATCGTCGAAACCATTCCACCGCGGTTCGAAGTGATAGAGTACCATCCCCCAAAACACCATTAATCTCACGGAACGTTTCTCTAGCGGATTTGCCTTTAACGAAGGAAAACTTTAAAATAGCGCGAATTTCGGCGTTAGTGAACTCCATGTTTACACGTCTATAACTGTTGAACGCAATATCCAAACTAATCATGCATAGCGTCGTTTTGTAGGTTATGTCAAGACCTTTCAAATTATGTTTATGACGGCGGAGTTGGATTGCCGCTTGCAGAAGGGTTCATGGTGCACTTTTCAATCTTCAAATGACAATAATAATAACGTAGGTAACGCGCGATGGTTCAATGTCCGTTCCAGTCGGCAGCCACAGGACAAGTGTTCTGCTGCCGCGCCTCGGCTGGTAAGGTGTTGACTCATCGAACGCCGACAGACGGCGCTGGCGTCACTTTCCGTAGTAAACTCGACTGCCGCAGTGGCGCTAGTGTTGCGTTGATTACGACATATACTCGTAGTATTGCCAGATACGAGCTCTGTAGCGCTTTGTACATAGCCGCGAAATTCAAAAGACAAAAAGGCGGAAGGGAGATATTTGACTACGAGTAAATCAGTTATATTTTTATTTTTCTACATAATCACCATCAAGTTCAATACACTTTTGCCACCTCCCCTTCCAAGCATTTAGACCGTTGAAAAAAAATGATTCTTCCTTAGAGCTGCGTAGTAGCGTCTATAGCTGCTTTGACCTCGTCGTTTGTCGAAAATCTTTGACCTCCCAAGTGCTTTTTTAGGTTAAGGAACAGAAAGAAGTCTGATGGTGCCAGATCAGGTAAATACGGCGGATGCGGTAACAGTTCAAAGCCACAGTTGTGAATTTCAGCCATTGACTGTACTGACGTGTGAACACGGGCGTTATCTTGATGAAACAGGACTTTTCTTCTGAGCATTCCTCGATGTTTTTCTTTTATTTCCTATCGTAAACGACGTAGTAAGGTGCAGTAGTAATCAGAGTTTATAGTCTGACCCATTTCAAGATAATCAATCATAATCACACCTTTCGAGTCCCAGAATATTGAAGCCATCACCTTATTTGCCGACTGGTTCTCGTTCGTCGATTTTTTTGGGTGGCACCCCCCACCAGGGTTTGCCGAAAAGGTAGAGTGGTCTTGGTTTGTTTTTTTTTTTATTTTTATGCCATTAATACAGCCTAGCTCAGATTTGCTTGTATTCTTAACCACGCATCGTGGTTTACATTTTTATTCATGTTTTGGATGCAGCGGATCCCACAGCACTGGTTCCGTCTCGAAGAAGTGTTTTAACTATACCAAGGTTTTTTTGTGTCCACTATACAGGGTGACCCAAAAGGTTACGTACATAGGAAGGGGGATGATAGGGGTGGTCACAAGGGTCACCAGAAAAAGAAAATAAAAGTTCCCCTCTGGGTATTAAAAAAAATAAAGGGCATTTTTTAAAAACTTAAAAATTTTACACCTTCTGGGGCAATTTTGTAACCAATGACCTACAAATATTGCTACATTTAAAAAAAAAGCTATTATGTTTTCGTCAATAACCCTTTATCAATATGAAATAAAAAAAAACAGTACAACTAACAAAGATTTTAAAGAAAATTAAGTTCTTGTCCAGTCAAGAACTACGTAATTACGATTTCAATCAACTTCCTCCAAGTGTACTGAAAAAAAAAGTACTATGCAACTCCGGCGAGTAACTTAAAAAGATAGGTAATTTTATTACAATTTCCAAATGGTATAATACTTGCTTAAAAAAATCATACTAGGACATTTCAAATTTTTTTTTGCGAACAATACCCCTTCAAAACAAAACATACCAATAAAACAATAGTCTCAAATTCGTACACGAATACATTTTTAAATGTCTATTCTCTTCCTTAAAACTTAAAAAGACAGGTAATTGTATTGCAATCGTTTTAAATGTAACTAAAAAATAAACAATATTGCAATTATTTATTCAAATAAAATGATCGAAATGTCTACCACCAACATAAATACACGCCCTGCATCGTTTCAAAAATGAACGGGAGATATGGCGAGCAAATCTTCTATTATTAATTGATTCCGCTGCCTCTGTGATCCTCGCCCTCGAGTCAGCCAAGTCCCTGATGGGTTTTCCATAAACTGTTTCTTTTATAGCACCCCAGTAAAAGAAGTCTAACAGGTTTAAATCGGGTGAACGAGCTGGCCACGCTATAGCACCGGCCCTTCTCATCCACCTACCATGGTATTCTTCGTCTAGGAAATCCGTTACAGGCCGTGCATAATGTGCTGGCCACCCATCATGCTGAAACCACATATTCCTGACTGTTTCTAGCGGCACATCTTCCAACAGATTTGGTAGTTCGTTTCGTAAGAAGTGTAAGTACGCTTCGCCAGACAGTGCCTCAGGTAGCTCAAAGGGTCTGTAGGTGACCTCCTACATATTCCCTAGAACACTACTCAGACACACACATACATAACACGCATACTACAACACACACATAAACACGGGTGCATGACGAGTGGTCGACGTCACGTCGATTTGTTGACCTCTGATTGGCAAATTCGAATTGCAACGCACAGCTGAGCGGGGGTCACTGACCGGTTTAGCATACGCGCGAAACGACAGTGGAGTTCTGCAGCGCCCGCGATATACCACGCTTTCGATTACGCAACTTGTTACTTTGTTATCCGAATTTGTGCATTTCTCTTTCTCCTACCTGTATTCTTCTTCTTAGTGTTGTACTCTCCTTCTTACTATTTGTTGTGGACTGTGAGTGAATAAACTGTGTTGTGAATATAACTGTGCCTCATTTCACCTGTCGCCGCACTCACCCTTCACATCATCATCATTCACACACTCCCACACAGGAGGTGACACCACGTCACCCTTCCCCCTTCGGGTCCAATTATTATACCATTCAGTATTCCGGTCCTCATGTTCACTTTAAAACGATATTGGGACCGATCTTCTCTAAGTAGGTGAGGATTTTCTACGTGCCACTCGTGTAAATTGTGTAGGTTCGTGTATCCGTCCTTTTTAAAAGTGGACTCATCAGACCACAATATTTTATTGAAAAATTTAGGGTCCCCCCTATGCATGCGCAACATCCTACGACAAAATGCAAGTCTCGCAATATAATCGCGTGGTAACAGAACCTGTACGGCGTTGCACGTGGTACGGGTGAAACTTCTCAGCTTGTAATATGCGATGAGCAGTACTTTTCGGTACACCTGTACCTGCTTCAATTGCCCGAACTGATGTACTCGGATCATCTGCGACGGCTTGAAGCACTTCATCTTCGACATCGAACCGAGGTCTGCCTTCATTAACCGCTTGGTGAGGAAATCGACCCTCAGACAATAGTCGGTGGACATTGACGAAAACACGGCTATCCGGGTGACGAGCGGCGTTCGGATATCGTTCTCGGTAGAGTCTTGCTGCAGCACGGGCCATTACATCTACATTCGCCGTAAATGAGATGCATGTTCGCATATTCTTGTGGAGTGTACGTAGGTGGCATGGTGGTACTGTGTCACACACTTTAGTCCTTAAAAAGCCGGGTCGTTGGAAGAAATCACAAACAAAGATAATAATCAAGTCCAGAAAGCGATGCAAAGTTGTTAGTACAAAATGAACACAAACGAATACAAAGGTTGCGCGGTAAACGAGAGAGCTTAATGTATTGACCAACTATTTGACTAACCAAAGATAGCACACCTACTTTTGTCTCTTTCTTAGTGTATCGCCCTGTCTCTCTCACTCACCACCAAACTTTTTTGCGTACGAATTTGAGACTATTGTTTTATTAGTATGTTTTGTTTTGAAGGGGTATTGTTCGCAAAAAATATTTTTAAATGTCCTAGTATGATTTTTTTAAGCAAGTATTATACCATTTTGGAATTGTAATAAAATTACCTATCTTTTTAAGTTACTCGCCGGAGTTGCATACTACTTTTTTTTTCAGTACACTTGGAGGAAGTTGCCCCTTCCTATGTACGTAACCTTTTGGGACACCCTGTATACATGGCAAAGTGTTGCAGCCACTCAAAGAATAGATGTTCGCTGGTCATTATCGGAACATTTAAAAAAAAACTTCGTCAGTGTTCAATTGCTGACTATGCAGCTTGTCTGTAAATCTGACAGTTCTTCAAAACTGACGTTCCTCTTAGTATCCATCATGGGTCTTGTTGCTGAAATATCAGAAGAGATTAATAGGAAATTGAAAATATCTTCGTTCGAACACATATTCAGCATTGACAGCTCACTTATCAAAGAATCGATTCCAATTTTACAAAATCTATGATTGCAACGAGTTGTGTTGTGCAGTCAGGAAAGGAGCTTTTAAATATATATTTTATTTATTTTATTCGACAACTATACTCTAAGAAGGTTACAAACGAAGTGAAGATTTCAAATAACTTATCTCTTAGGTAAACAAGGGGACACAAATAAGCTTTGTATTACAAGAAGACAGTATCAATGTTATCAGACTTACATGGGTGCTTAAGATTAACTTATTCCACTGGTGGCTACGTACCTAACGTCAACTGAGAAATTGGAAACAACTAAGATAATTTTGATTAGATGGATGGATGGAAGGATGTTTGAAGGTATCTCCAGAACGGCTGAATGGATCTCGATGAAATTTGGCATATATATATAGAAAATAGTCTTGAAGAAAACATAGGCTACTAATTAAGTTTTTAATTCCGTACGGACAGATTCCTCATCATAATAGTTGGTACTGTTATGCCATAAATGTCAAAATTGACAAAAAAAAGGTTTTTTCATAGTTTTTACATTTTGTTTTATTGATTTTTCTCTAAGTTTACGCTCTCCATGGTGTTGCCATTACACTGGGGATTGACCGGGACTTTTTCTGGAATTAAAAACAAATATTTTTGAATTTAAGCATTTACCGCATTTCATAAAGGTCGGTTTTTACTATTTGCCTTTTTTTTAAATTCTGTTGTAAAGTGATTTGTTTAATAAGGTTGGTCAGATTTTCTCAACTTTGAAGTATAAATACATATTGTTTTGTAACCTAGAATAAAAAAGAAGTTGTAATATTAATAGTAGGAAATATATAAATATACCCGTAACCCAGGACTCTGACACAAAATGTACTAAAAAGTAGGGTTGCTAATATTATAAAATTATATAATTAAAAGTGTTACCTATTTTTTGAGACTGTATAAAACATATCGTCATCTCTCTATTCAGGGGATTTTTGTGTCAAAAACCCACGGTTAATTTATATTTAGTCTATTTTTTTTTGTCAAAGAGAAACCGGCAATTAGCGGCGAAAACACAGTGGTTATCCACGACTCCCATAACATCCTCAATACCAGCTGAACTGCAGATGCGTTGCTAGCTTTTGATATGATACGCTCTGTAAGGCGGCCGGGCACTTAGGGTATTTAAAAAAAACCCGCAAGACTTTTAAACTACTTTAATTAACTCTTAACTCTTCGACTGTCTGGTCTCCGAACCCTGATTGTGTGTATAAATCGCGTGCTTTGGATTCTGATTGAATAAAAAAACATAACTATAAGGTAAACTAATTTAACTGACTGTAATGGCAAAACTTCGTCAGTGTTCATTTGCTGACTGTGCAGTCTTTGTATAAAAGGTAGGATTATAACAGCTCGCTTCTTGAAGGACTCTAGTTCGTTTTGATTTGAAAATTGTCTATGGTAATTTTGTTAAACTTACATAATCTTCGGGTACATCACAACAGCAGTCCGGGGAAAAGGACTCGCATTGTCCATAGCGAACGCAGACTTCAGGGTCACAAACGTTAACCGTGGCTGGAAGGTTAACAAAAGCTATTTAACTGGAGTATAACAAGTTGAAAAATGACTGATTAGAACAGGCACAAAATACTATGGCTTGTAGCCAGTCCAGTGGATTATAAAGGTCACTGGTCTTGGAGCATCTCCTGGCTGCAATACAGCCTTGTAGCCAGTGTTATATAATTTTTATTCTCAGATTATTTAAAAGTATAGTAGTAAAGTATAACATACTCGTAATTATAATATAATAATGTTATTTTATATCATAAGATCGCATTTGCATCTGCATTGCCTAGCTTTAAGAGGAGGAGAGGATACACAGAAAGATAACATATTTCCTTTCCGAGCATCCTCTCATCCGGAAAATCCACTCCCACTTCCCATTCTTCCCTTATAAAATGAGGGTGGAAAGGTAAAGCGGATCAAAGTTAGGCCTCCGGGATGCACTAGACTGTAGTTGGAATTGCTTCCACTTGACGCCTGTCTTCTGTGTGGTCGTGGTATTTCACCGGGTGAGTCGGAACAACTCTTCTGAAGATTTTAAAACTGGTTCTACCACTGTCAAAATGTAAACAGTAAACGGGTTGACGGTGAAGGAAAACATCGTGATGCAACCTGCACATATCTGAGAAGAAATTCAAAGATATGTGTGAATTCAACCCGCACTTGGTCGGCGTGGTTGACTATGGCCTAATCACCCTTTACTTAGGGTAGGCTCCGAGCCCCTTGGCGGGGACGTATAGTGATCTGATGATGAAACGGGTTGAATAAAAACATAATTAGAAAGGCTTTTATATTGGTTAAGAAATTCAATCATTTTTTTATCCGTGTTATAATTACTCTAATATAAGATTACCAAAATAAATACTAACCTTGTGGTCTTGGTATCAGCGCCAGAGTTGCTAAGGAAATAATATTAAAGGAAAATATTAATATAACACGCCAAAGGTCACAATAAATTATTAACCAAACCGCAATGCTGTAGGTACTAGCAAGCATGTTCGTGACAATATTGATAATCTTGCTAATATTATAAATGCGTATGTTTAGATAGATTGTTTGAAGGTAAATCCAGAACGTCTGCATCTCGATGAAATTTTGCATACATATAGAACATAGTCTGAAAGAACACATAGGCTACTTATTAAGTTTTTTTCAAGTTGTAAGAGTCGCCAATCTAGCTGTTTATATTTTCAAATCTTTGTTTATGTGTGCAGGGTTCTTGTATATAAGCGTATACATTATTTCCAAGTATCATAAAAGGATTCTCGTGAACCAGTATTAGGTTTGTCGTGGTTAGGAATTGGATAGAGGTGGAGGAAAGAACAATTCTGACGCAACTAACGGTAGTTCATAGTGTGGTGATAACTCGCTTATCTTTGCGTATTTAGCACATGCTGTATATATTGACTGATCTATTTCTGTTATAGGTACATGTTGCATCTGAACGCTTTGTGTCATTTTTACAATCATTTTTATATATCATAAAGTGGCAAACTAGCGAGTCACCTGAAATCACTGAAATAGCGAAGTGACTGTAGCCCATAGACATACTCAATTGCATATGCGTTGCCTACCTTTAATCGACGGAGGAGAGGATGCACAGAAAGAAAATATTTTCCCTTCCCATGCATTCTCTCATTCGGATAGTCCATTTCTACGTCCCATCCTTTCTTTATAAGAAAAAGGGTGGGAAGGGCAAGATTACTAAATTAGGCCTCCGGGACGCACACTCAGACTGTACGCGGGATAGCTTTCACTTGAGTCTATACTAAGAAGGTTACAAGCGAACTGAATCTATTGAAATTATCTCTAAAGAAAACACGAGGATATGATCTTTGTATTACAATGTAAATGTTATCAGACCTACATGGTTGCTTATGACTAACTTATGCTATTGGTGGCTACGTAACTGTAGTTAATAATTAAATTATTTACATACATACGAATAGAAGAGCTAGCAAAATGGTTATTTTCAACATGGTGTCGACTTGGCGCCAATTTTCAAAGTATATAACAATATGGCCGACGACTGCCACTTATATAGTCTTAAAGTAATTGTAAATCTAGAGTAAATTATTTTTTTTTTATTAAATCTAGATAATTTAAATGAGAAAGATATAATTTTATAGTTATTTCACGCGTTATCGTATTTTGATTTGATATATAAATAATTCAAATACAACAAAATATATAGTACGTAAAAAGTATCCAAAAAAAAAAAAAATTTATATACTGCTATAACTATTGATACGAAATAATTTAATAATTTCATAGATACAAAATAAAATAATAATAAAACAACAAAGTCAATAAGAATAACTAGTTAAAAAGAAATTAAAAATTCAATTTTACGGACTCCATCAATTGATTTGATCCAAATCATTAAAAAATAAATACTAATATTATAAAGCGGAAGAGTTTGTTTGTACGCGCTCTTGAACTACTGGTCTGATTTGAAAAAAATCTTTATTTCTTGCATAGTCCATTTGTAGAAGGCTTAAGGCTTAAACATAACGCTGCGACCAATAGTTTTTTTTAATACCGCGAGGAAGGAATCGCTGGCGACAGCTAGTCACATATAGATTATAGAATAGAAGATTTATTTATTGCTACAAACAACCAAAAAAAAACAAATTACATTAAATAAATTAAGGATGTGGCAAAAAAGGTTTCCAGCTCAACTGGTGCAATGGGCTTGAACATTCGTGCGCTGGTTTTCAGCTTTGTTCTCACACTATTTACGCAACACGAGGTAGGGTAACAATAAATAAAAACAGATAACACGAAAAAAAAAGCTAAAGCGACAATTTAAATTAAAAAAAAACATTTATCCTTAACTCTACATTAATTATTAAGTGACTAATTAATCTACCAAAATAATACTATAAACTATATATTAAAACTAAACCAAACTAAAATTAAAACTAAATAATATAAAAAATTGTCCCAAATCGCTGCGGTCGCATTTAATCCTTCCAATATCAACACAATAAGCAAAAACAGCACAAAAATAATTATAACACAAGTTATGTCGTGCTGGCAGGAGAGGAGCTTTTAAAAAATGTTTTATTCATTTTAATAGACAACTTTCCTCTTAGGAGGTTACAAACGAACTAACTATTATAACTAACTTATCTCTAAGGAAAACATGGGGACACAAATAAGCTTTGTATTACAAGACAATATTAAATGTTATCAGACCTACATAAATGGGTACTTAAGATTAGGTTATTCTACTGGTGGTTACGTAACTCTCCAAATAATAGTATTTTATAAATGGTCCGAATACAGATACGTCTAATGATTGTAAAGCAAAGGTAGTATGACTAGGTAAACTAAGCAGTTTCACATCATTGTCACGAGAAGTTACTAGCATATTGACAGCACTGGAATGAGATGAATGACCGTCTAAAATTAGTAATACCTTCCCTGGAGGCTTGTGTGGTATAAAATGTTCGGTCAGCCACTTGTAAAAATGTTCTGAGGAAATGCTGATTTCTTTTGCATATAAACTTTTGAACCAGGAGGAAGTCCTTCAAATTGTGGCTTTTTATTTACCCCTTGATAATCAGAACAGGTGGAAGAAAATTGCCAATAGCGTTGCAACAAGCAACAATGGTAATTGTTTCGACTTATTCACCGGAAGTAATTTCACTGTTCTAGTACCTTTCTTGGCCAATACCTTGCCAGGTGTATTGTTTAGTTGGACACCGTTTTCATTCATATTGAAAATTCGCTCCGGCTTATTTAACAAATCATTATCAGTTAAGACGGTTATGAACAGATCAAAAAATTTGTCTACTTCGGCCTTCCTTAGATCCTTCGCTCTTTACATTGATAAGCCACCAGCCTGCCCCATAACTATTTCGGGATTTCTTTCAAGGAAACTTTCCATTTTGGTCCAGCCATTTTAGTTTCATTATTAAAATTGTGCTTCAATCCTAATTTATCGGCAAACTGATAAGCTAATTGGGGAATTAAACTTCTTTCAGGAGGAAATCCTGCGTCTCCGAGCTTCAATATGGGAAACAAGTATTTTTTCATTTTCAAAGCTAATGGCAGGGTATTTTTATATTTATAAGCTAAATATACAATTTTAAATCCTTGACATACCTTGGGTTACCAGCAGCTGGTTTGTTCATATCGTCTTCCTAAGGTTCGAGAGGATATGCCATAAATCCGGGATATTTCGGTGATACTTTTTTGTTTTTTATGTAGTTCTTCATACGCAAGTGTTAAACTATCTTCTGTCCAGTTGATGTAGCGCCGCACCACGCCTATCTTTCCTTTATACTTGCGAGCAATTTTTCTGTTAAGTATTTATTTTATTTAAGATTATATTTTTTTCTATTCAAAAACTGTTTGTACCAACGACCATAATTTCAATAGTCAACGGAAAAAACCCAACAAGTGACAAACAACGATGGTCTAGAAATTGTTGCTGACTACGCGCCCGAGAGGAGGTCTTACAAGACAGACAAGACGAGACTGGTGGGACAAATCGCCGCTTCAGCTTTTATGAAACCATATAAAAAGCCATTATATTTTATTTGCAATTAAAGCATCTGGTTTACTTGGAATCACGTTGGTTTTCTTCTATTCACCGCTCCGCATTCCTAGTGCCTTGGATTCGCCGATGATTTATTGCCGGCCAATTCCACTACGCCATCTCCTTGTGCCGCCGTCACATTGTCGGCCACCCCCACTGGTCTATCCCTCTGATCCACTGTACCGTCGTGTTGTGGAATATTGCTAGCATATTCCGCAGTCTGACCGTTTCCTATACCAACATCTTTTCATTGAAGACTTAACCACAGTACAAAGTTATGGGTGTACAGAATGCCAACTATTTTAACATATACCTTGGTGAAATTTCGTATATTTCAAATATCATATAGTATAGTTATGGAATAAAGAAATTAAACAAAATGAATGGTACAAAATCTGTAAAATTCTATCATCAACAAATATCAAAATTAAATTATTCAAACTTGAATATCAAAATGTTATTGTTTTATTTAAAGAAATAATATACCATAATATTATAAACTAGCTGTCGCCCGCGACTACGACCGCTTATATATAATATATAATATATAAAAAACTTAATTAGTATAGCCTATGTGTTCTTTCAGGCTTTGTTCTATACGTATGCCAAATTTAATTGAGATCCGTTCTAGAGATCTTTAAACACCCATCCATCCATCCACATCACATCCATCTAAACATTCGCATTTATAATATTAGTAAGTTAAATAAAAAGCAGCTCTTCAAGGCTTAAATACGAAAAAAAAAAAGAATAAATCCGTCTCCTGGCTCTAAGCTACCTTCTCTTCAATTTTCAACCATATCGGTAAAGCCGTTCTTGAGTTATAAATAGTGTAACTAACACCACTTTCTTTTATATATAAAGATGCGAATGTTTAGATGGATGGATGTTTGAAGGTATCCAGACTAGCTTATATCGATGAAATTTTATACAAATATAGAACATAGTCTGGAAGAACACATAGGCTACTTATTAAGTTTGTTTTTGCGGAATGAGTCGCGGACGACAGCTACTTGTAACACCGCAAATAAAATTGACTGTTTATATTTGTAAAAATTTCCATACGTTCTATGCAACTAAACATGATTATCTTATATCGTTATCAAATAATTACTGGCCTATGACACTGGCCGTAAAAATGACGGCACAATATATGAAGAAAATATTGTGCAAGTTGAAAGCAAGATGCAAATATGATGAAACTTTAACATAAGCCAGGCGATAAGCTATTCCTCGTCGTTTCACCCATATGATGCCCATTGTTAGGCATAGGCCTCCACTAAAGATTGCCACGATGTTCTGTCCTGTGCTACCCGCATCAAAGATACTACGGCAATCTTAAGCCCGATAAGCTATTACAAGGTGAGATTAGAGATTTAGTAGTACAGAGATTCTCGGTGCATTCCTTTAGTCATCAGGTCATAAGTCAAATATTACATTACCTTGTTTTTCTCACAAGATCATTATTTTAAATTGGGGTAAAAAATGTTGTTCTTGGTCAGTGGAAAGAGGCTTAGCTAATGCTGACTCCAGCTTATCATTAAAGACTGGTTTTCAGTCTCTCCTAACTTCGTCAAGTTTTGGGAGTAAAGCCATTTGTTCATGTGTGTGTATGTGTCTTAGCAATTGGAATAAAAGGTGGATTGGTAACTGACAGTCGTAACGCAAAGTCAATACAAAGTAGGGTCGATTTTTGTCGGCGGGCAGAATGGCGTGGCGCAAGTCAGTGGGGTAAGGGATCCCCGCGCTTCCCCACCGGCGGAGCAGTAGTACAGGAACTGCAGCTTGTAATACTAGTTTGTTTTTGAAGGATAAATTTAAAAACGGGATGGCTCAGTAAAAAATACATTAAATGATTGAAAAACTATTGAACTTTAATAATAACAACACTCAAAGGTAACTAACATGAGAAACCTTATTAAAATCGCCATCAAAGTCCTGCTACTAAATGGCTTTGATTTTTTATAAAGTATATGTTCCAAATTCACATATTTTTTTGACATTTACTAACATTTTTCCTTAAAAACTAATAGATTTCTTATCTTTGTAACAATTTTATAGTCTTTAGATCTTTATGTAATCATTTTTTTTTAAACAAAATAACGTAAAATAACATATATTATAATTAAGTATAATTAGTCACAATAATCACAGATAAGTCTTCTCCGAATAACTCAACAACGTCATATGGTGGTAACGGTCTAGTTTCTCTGAGAAACACCCAAACTTCTTCACTATAATAAGATTTTAAGGGTCCCATGAAAGTGCGGTCCAGTGGTTGAACTTTATGCGTACAATGTCATAGATAGGATTGTCACATAATGTTGTTTTGCTAGATCTATCAAATCTTTTTTTTTTATATCATAAGGTGGCAAACGAGCGAGCGGCCACCTGAAATCGCTGAAGTAGCGAAGTGACCATTGCCCATAGACATACGCAATTGCATATGCGTTGCCTACCTTTAATCGACGGAGGAGAGAATGCACAGAAAGAAAATATTTTCCCTTTTCATGCATCCCCTCGTCCGGAAAGTCCGCTTCCACTTCCCATCCTTTCCTTGTAAGAAAAGGGTGGGCAGGGAAAGAGGACTAAATTAGGCCTCCGGGACGCACACTCATCAGACGAAACGCGGAATTGCTTCCACTTCACGCCTGTTTTCTGTGTGGTGGTGGTATTTCACCGGATAAATCTGGCCAATTCGTACGAAGATGTTAAAGCGGGTTCTACCACTCTTAATCTAAAATCTATGTTCTTAGTGTGGCTGTAATGGCCATCAAGAATCAAGAGCACTAGGGATGGTTCTGTTGGTTTCACATATTCTACGAAGTGTTGAAACCATTCTGTAAATAGGTGAGTTTGGATCCATCCCGATGGATGTACTTTTCCTATAGAAACAACTAGAGCTTCTCTCATTAAAGCATTAGACATATTTTTACGCGGCAAGTGGCTTTAGGTTTTCGCAGAGAAATATTGTGATTTCTTTTTTAAAACCATAAAAGCAATCTTCTCCCACCATTGCAGTATTCTTATCAAAATTGTGCTTTAATACTTCAGCAAAGTGGTCAAGCACTTGACTTGCAATCTGCAGGTCCTGGGTTCGAATCCCGCCATGTACCAATGTGTTTTTCCATTTCCGATTTACATATGTACATTTATCCGACATTCTTACGGTGAAGGAAAACATCGTGATGCAACCTGCATATATCTGAGAAGAAATTCAAAGATATGTGTGAAGTCAACCAACCCGAATTGGGCCAGCGTGGTTGACTATGGCCTAATCACCCTCAACTTAGGGTAGGCTCCGAGCCCCTCGGTGGGGACGTATAGTGACCTGAAGATGATGATGACTTCAGCAAATGTGAAAGCTATTTTTCCCACCATCATTATAGTTAGACCATAAAGTAATCTGCTACATTTTAAAATGTCTTTTCTAATTCCTTTTCTTGTCCTTCAGTAAATATGGCCTTCTTTCCAGTGCGGGGTATCTTTACAATATCTTTGTTGATATAGTCGTGTATAGTGCTTTTTGGAACAGCATATACAGTGACTGCTTTTCCCAGTGAAAGTGATTTATTTTTAACTTCTTGAACGGCTCTTTCAAGGTCTTCTTATTTATATTTTTTGTCCGTCTTCCTTTCATTATTTTGTTATATCATAAGGTGGCAAACGAGCCAGCGGCCACCTAAAATCGATGAAATAGCGAAATGACTGTTGCCCATAGATATACGCAATTGCAGATGCGCAGAAAAATAATATTTTCCCTTCCTATGCATCCCATCCGGAAAATCCACTTCCATTTTTTTTTTTTTATAGGAGAAGGGGGCAAACGAGCAACGAATCGCCTAATATTATTTGATCCGACGCCCATGGACATCCGCAGCGCCAGAGGAACCGCAGATGCGTTGCCGGCCACGCCGTTTTCCATTCTTTCCTTTTAATAGAAAGGTTGGAAAGTAAAAGAGGACTAAAACTAGTCCTCTGGGACTCACACTCATCAAACTAATTGGAATTGCTTCCATTTGACGCATGTGTTGTGTGGTCATTGTATTGCTCCGGGCAAACCGGCCAATTTGGGCGAAGATGTTAAAGTGGTCTCTACCACTGTTAGTTGCAGTTATGTTACATCACGATGAGCTGTCAATTTAGTTGAGTTACCACTCAACGGTTCAAGTTTAAGTGAGTTGAACTTTTGAACCGGTTCAGAGATATACACAACTCGAGCCAGTCGCCCTTGGACAGTGAACGTGTGCGGTTGTCAGTTGTTAATATCGCAAACGTAGTTAATATAAGCAAAATGCAGTAAGTTTTTTTTTAATATTGTGAGCAACTAAAGTGGTTATTTTTCTTGATAACATCAATTTTTAATCTACATTGTGTTTTCTCAGAAAACTTTTTGATTCATTACTTTTACCGTAGACTGTCCAATTTTGGTAAAATCTTTAATATTTCTTACTAGCTGTAACCCGCGACTTCGTTCGTGCAGAATTAAAAAAAAACTTAGTAAATAACCATTGCGTTCCTCCAAACTATTTTATATCTGTGCCAAATTTGATCAAGATCCATGCAGCCTTAATATCACTTCAAACAAACATCGAACTAAATATTTGCAATTACTTTACAATTAAGCGCATGTTTTTGTTCAATTTATTGTAATTCGCATCAATTGTTCTATATTTAAAAATGATTTAATTTCATCTTCGGATTTTTTCTTTTCAAAAAAAAAATGACAGTCGAACAAATCTGTTAGGTTTTTTGTTTATTGCACGATTTGGTAGAGTCATGTATGTCGATTCGTATGTGTATTTGTTTTCCTATGCCGTCTGCATACACGGCTTTAATTTTGAAATGCGGTAATTTTATTCATTTTTTATTTTAATTAGTTACTATACGATATAAGAATTAAAATAATATGTTGTCTATATGCTCTTCTACACTCTGTTCTATATGTATGCCAAATTTCATCGAGTTCCGTTCAGTCGTTTCAAAGATATTTTCAAACATCCATCTAAACATTCGCATTTATAATATTAGTAAGATTTTCACAATTTGCCTTTTGCAGGCGTTGTAGCAGAAAATATCCTTATAACAAACTAGCTGTGCCCGCGACTTCGTTCGCGTGGTTGTCGGAGAAACTATCGCGATTATCTTTTAATAGCATTTTTCTTCGCTCCTATTGGTCGCAACGTAATGTTATATAGCCTAAAGCCTTCCTTTATAAATGGACTATCCAACAAAAGAAGAGTTTTTCAAATCCAGTAGTTCTTGACATTAGCGCGTTTAAACACTCTTTTATATATATATATATATATAAAAGAAAGTGGTGTTAGTTAAACTATTTATAGCTCAAGAACGGCTTTACCGATATGCCTGAAAATTGTTGAGGAGGTAGCTTAGAGCCAGGAGACGGACATAGGATACTATTTGCTTATTTTTTTTATTCGAATTTATGCCTTGAGCTGATTTTTATTTAACTTACTAATATTATAAATGCGAATGTTTAGATGGATGTGATGAGGATGGATGGGGGTGGGCTACACTTATTAAGTTTTTTATATATATGTATCCACGCGGAGGGAGTCGCGGGTGACAGCTAGTATTAGTACAAATTACTTTTACAAACACGTATAATACATTCCTAAGTTTTATTTTTTACTGTGGGCTAAAGTTGTATTGGTCTCGGCTTTTTGAGGTTCCGTACCTCGGAAGGACAAAAGGAAACCTTTATAGGATCACTTTGTTGCTCGTCCATCTGTCTGCCAAGACCATTTTTATAATTCACTAGTCGTCACCCTTTGTTCGTACATAATTGACTTTGCAAATCGTTTTTCGTGTTTAATTTTAGATTAAAAATAACTTTTTACGGTTAATTAACGTTAACTGTTTTAATTTCCTTAAAATATTTCGCCAGTTAATATGATAAATGACGTCATAAACCATTATCAGATGTTATTTCAAAGCTTAAAACGCGTTCTAATTAACAATTAAGTTGTGAGAAATTGTTTGCATTCTCAAGGCTTAAATTATCTTGTATCTGTATAAAAGGTTATCATTATTAGTATATTTTCAACTTGTTTTCTGAATTCTATTAAAAGAAAACAATAATCAATACATTTTAATTAAAGTACAGTCACCATCAGTGATAGTGTTCCTTCACAACATAAGTGCAAATAGTTTAAACGCCCTTTACGCTTTGAAATAACAATATTTTATAGATTTTGTAACTGTATCTAATCAAGTTAATATTAAGCACCTGGATGACCGATTTTTAAATTGTGTTTTTTGGAATTTAGATTTGAGTAGGAATTACTAATAAAATGATGAAATTTGAATAATATTTTTCTATCTTATCGATAGAAAAAGTTAAGTTTATGTTTAAGTTGATTATCGATAAAACACGAGTAAAATGACATTTTCTAAAAATGATTCCTAGCTAGATCGATTTATCGCCCCCGAAACCCTCTATATACTAAATTTTATGAAAATCGTTGGAGCCGATTCCGAGATTCCAATAATATATACAAGAATTGCTCATTTAAAGATATAAGATAAAAATTATCGATCAATACATCGTTAGCACTCTTTATTTGTAACAAGTTACTTTAAGTAATTTATTCTGTAACTGAAACACCGCAAATGTAGGCGACTGTACTTTTAATTAAGAGTTTAATAAGCTTTATCCACTAATCACTATAAATAGATAGGCTATTGCTTGGAAATTACAGCTATTATTAGTTGGAATCCTCACCGCTACATAATGCTACCATCAGAGCCATTGATGAAAATCAAATAGGCACAAAATGTAACGTTTCATAGCCAGTCCATTTATAGAGGTTTTTTTATACATCATGCAACCATCGTTTTTCTGTGGCCAACATCCCCTATTATCTCTGTTTTGTCAAATAACAGGGATGATATGTTTTATACAGAGATTTTGATCTCTCAAACAACTTATACGCCTAACATATAAGGGGATATTATTAATTTCCGATCCTTTTTTAGGTTTTCTTTTATGGGCGGCGCTATGTCGCCCTCTCGTTCCCCCTAGCATGTTGTGGCCAGAGACTTTGGTTACTTTATTTAAATTATTCACAAAATTCTAACACTAGTTGCTTATAAATTAATACTTTTTTACTTACTGCTAATTTAAAACTTAATGCTATACAGTTAAAAATAATACTTAAAATTTAATATTACTATTTACATTTTAAAATTTCTTAATTAAATAAAATTGATAAAATTACAATAAAAACTGATGTCAACTCCTTTTTTTAGGTTCGTGAAGAGCATATTAATTTTATCTCTAGGATATTTGACCTTAGCCGAAGTGAACAATGACTTCGACAATTTTTCAATGGCCATAAAGGAATATCTCGACACGTACAGCCCAGAAGTTCAGTCGCGCTTATTAGAAACAACAGGTTAGTGCAATTTTTTTAATAAATACGACAAAATGGCGACGCGAACGCTGTCCATAGACATCCACAATCAGTGTTGCCAACCTTAAATACAAGTCAAGTGTTGAAACCCCTGAGCGACCGACGCTCTTTTTGCTGGCGTCTACAACTGTACGCTGTCATTTTGTAATTTGTCTAGCCAAATAGTAGACTCCGCAAATTGTTTTATCAAACTCTTTATCTCTATGTGGTTTGCATTCTTAATTGTGTATAGGAAATTGTTCGTATAATATTTTTAGACAATATTAGAAAGAATCAAGTCAAGTGTCAGATTAGTCATATTTGAGGAGCGTCGGTGGCTCAGTGGTCAAGCACTTGACTTGCAATCTGCAGGTCCTGGGTTCGAATCCCGCCATGTACCAATGTGTTTTTCCATTTCCGATTTTCATATGTACATTTATCCGAAGTTCTTACGGTGTAGGAAAACATCGTGATGCAAACTGCACATAACTGTGAAGAAATTCAAATATGTGTGAAGTCAACCAAACCGCACTTGGCCAGCGTGGTTGACTATGGCTTAATCTCCCTTAACTTAGGGTAAGCTCCGAGCCCCTCGGTGGGGACGTATAGTGAGCTGATGATGATGATGTCAGATTAGTGAGGGGACACGTTGATATTTTAATAAGGCTAGTGTTGCGCACACCGGCACACAGTCGAATTTCCAAACAGTATGTTTTAAACAAATTTAATCTAATCTTTATTTTTATTATAGACGTTGACCCAATGGAATTAGCATACCGTATAGGTAATGCAACAAAAAATATATTGGAAAATGCAGAATGTAAGTAATATTTTGTAAATATAATTTTAATATACTTCGATGGCGCAGTGACCTAAAAGTTTTTTTACAAAGATTTTGGTCTTAGAAACCAACGATAAATCTTATATCAAACGTCAGATTCCATAAATGACGGCAATAACCATAGACAAATTGTGTATTTTAATAAAACTCGTTAATTGTAAATTTCTGGTCCACTATTTTTCTCACATAATTATTACGCTACCCCCGCCGCTCTGTCCGAGCGGGATTAAAAAAACTTAATTAATCTATGTGTTCTTATAGACCAGTGGTTCCCAAACTTATTTTGTCTACTGCCCACTTTGAGAATAAATATTTTTTTAGCGCCCCCATATTTTCACATATTTAAAAACCACTATAACTTCAAATTAAATTAATTAATTATTGTGACCTATATATGTATATTAACGATGAATTGTAAACGAAACTTTTACTATAATCCGCAACTTGAGACCTGCAGCGCACACAAGGGGGCATTATCGCACACTTTGGGAAAGACTGTTCTAGACGATGTTCTACATCTATGCTAAATTTCAGCGAGATCCATACAGTCGTTATGGAGATTTCTAACATACATCTTGTTCAAATAAAAGCAACACACTCTTCGCTTTAAATGTTTATTATGGAATTATAATTATAACTTAACACAAAATATATACAAAACACTACGATATAAGAAATGTAAGTAATTTAAGTACAACACTTTTCTCCGATCATTGTTAAAACTCACTCTTCTCTACTGAAAAATAACAAAAGACTTACTCGATATAGTAAATAAATAAAATCTCACGGCGCCACTATGTGCCGGTATCTTTCTACTTTTTTAATGTCGCCCTCTAACGTAATGTCATCGAATTACGCTTAAATACATCTAAACATTCGCATTTATATTAATAAGAAGTAAAATCTCAATTAGATTTCTCACAATTTATACAAAATAACTGAAAATTACGAATATCATGTCGCCATGTATGGAATTTGACTAGCCTTACTTTATAAACAGTGGGGCCTAGCATGAATATTTGTGACAATCGCTTTCGGATCGACATCGTCAAAATTAGTATGAGATTTCTGATGTACTTTACACAAATTTTAATACATATCGGTGATACGATGACTATTATCACAATCATGCTAGACCTACAGATTACTTAATTTCAATGTTAATAATTTCTTCAGATAATAACGATGATGAATCCATCAGCGCAAAGCTTATGAATATGAACACAGAAATCACGGAGAAAATTACAAAAACAAACATTGATTCTGTAACAAAAGGTATGACATTTTTCATGAATTGAACTAATCCCTGTTCATATCAAGCCAGCTCAGTATTCCAGTCGAGCTCGAATACGCTGTCATACAACTGGACTTATGTGGACACCCACGGAAGCTAATAGGCCAGTCGTTAACTGTCAGGAACTTAAATAGGTGCATTTATATCGGAACTATAATAAATCTGTCATTTCTAATTTTAGACGTTATTAGTTAGAATCCTTTGGCGCGAACGACGTGCTTTCGTTACATAGTTCAGTGTCAGAATGAATAGTGAGGGGACATAAACGTCGACATTTTAGTAAGGCTAGTGTTGCGCCAGTACACCGACACAGTGTCGAATTTTCTTCCTAACACTTAGCCTACCTATTCACTTTATAAAGTGCCATGACGTCATTATAATTTATTTTTATTAAGTTGGTACATGTAAAGATTCGCCATACCTGTCATAGAGCAAGCTAAGAGTTTGATTTGCAAAAGAAAGTTGTCGTAAAAAAAAAATTATATCATAAGTTTGCAAACGAGTGAGCGGCAACTAGAAGAAGCGATCGTTGAGACACGCAATTGCATATGCGTTGCCTACCTTTAATCGACGGAGGGGATGCACAGAAAGAGAATATTTTCCCTTTTCATACATCCCTGATCCGGAAAATCCACTTCCATTTACCATCCTTTACTTATAAGTAATATGGTGGGAAGGGAAATAGGACTAAAATTAGGCCTCCTGTTGTCTTAATATATTTCTTCCTTTTAGATCCCTTCGATGAAGAAAATCTTAAATTGTTAGCATCAAAAGCATTCATCGAAGATAAATACATTGAAATTACAGATAATAAAACAACTGAAGGTATAGTATATTATTATAATAAAATATATATAAATATATTATATTTTAATAGCGTCAATAATCTAATGGTTAAGGGTTTTCCGATCACGAGGTCGGAGGTTCAAATCCCGCCTTTCGACTATTGTCGTAAACCATATCCTAGCACAAGCCTAGAGCTTAGTTGGAATGGTAAAAGAAATATTAGTAAATTTAAAAAAAAAAATCTAATAAAAAAGTATGTAATCTTCCATACATCTCTATCAGCCGTCATATCTGAATCCACGTCTTACGCATATCTTCTTACACACAATACTTTCTGTGGTCTTCCTCTTCCTTTGTAGCCATTCATTCAATCTCATTACTTTTTGTTTATATCATCTCTCCGCATAACATGTCCAAACCACGCTAAACTATTCCTCTCCCCAAATTCTCCATCACTGACACTACTTTCAAACTTCTAACATGCACTTATAAAATTAAAAAAAATAATTAGCGCTTAAACTTTAAAGGCACACATAACTTAGTCAAAAGCTTTTTTTATATCGTAAGGTGGCAAACGAGCGAGGCCATCTGAATCGCTGATATAGCAAAGTGACCGTTGCCCATAGACATACACAATTGCATATGCGTTGCCTTTAATCGACGGAGGAGAGGATGCACAGAAAGAAAATATTGTCCCTTCCCATGCATCCTCTAATCCGGAAAGTCCACTTCCACTTCCCATACTTTCCTTATATTATAAGAAAAAGTGTGGGAAGGGAAAGAGGAGTAAATAAGGCCTCCGGGACGCACACTCATCAGACTGCACGTCTTCTGTATGGTCGTGGTATTTCACCGGGCGAGTCGGGACTATTCCTGCGAACATGTTGAAGTTCGCTCTACCATTGTTAAATGAAATAATTTGTTTTTTCTTACGTAATTTACTCTTATATTTAAATATAAATACATTTATTATAATTTTATTTACAGTAAATGATGACGACGCAGAAATGAGTTTGTTCTTGCAAAATATGAACAATGAAAAGTCTTCGACAGGAGGTGCATCAAAGAAAGGTTTTTACACATCTTTATATATATAATTCTTCTGTGAGTGTGTATGTCACTGAACTTCTCTCAAACGACTGGAGCGATTTTGATGAAATTTTTTGTGTGTGTTCAAGGGGATCTGGGAATGGTTTAGATTCACAATTTTCGCCAAATATTAACTTCATATTAATTTATTCAAATTAAAGACCTGTAGACAGGACAACGTCTGTCGGGTCCGCTAGTAGATTTTATATAAAAGAAAGTGGTGTTAGTTACGCTATTTATAACTCAAGAACGGCTTTACTGATATGCCTGAAAATTGGTGAGGAGGTAGCTTAGAGCCAGGAAACGGACATAGGATACTATTTATTCATTTTTTTTTCTTACTTATAAATGCGAATGTTTAGATGGATGTGATGTGGATGGATGGTTTGAAGATATCTCTAGAACGGCTGAACAGATCTCGATTAAATTTGATATACGTATAGAACATAGTCTGCAAGTACACATAGGCTACACTAATTCGGTTTTCAAATATCCACGCGGACGGAGTCACTGGCGACTAATACTAGCTGTATTACAAAAAAAAACAATGTCATCGGCAAATCTTGTACGCCGCCATTTTATAATTTGCGTAAGCAAATCGTAATGGGATTTTTAACCGATGTTATATAATTAGGTTATCTATACGATTTCCAAACCTAATAATCGATCCATAAATTTACATTTACATACAAATTTTACCATTTTTGACTAACTTCGACGTTATATCGTATATCTTAGAAACGGTGGCTCGTAGTAAAATAGTATTAAGACATTTTTATAGATAGTTTTATAATCTATATTTTTTGTCTGAGGTATTTTTTCGACAAAACATAGCGTTTTGCTATAAAAAACACGAAAAACTCTTTGACCTTTGACCTTGAATAAAAAAAAATCCATACAGAAAAAATGAGGGAAGTTTAAAATTTTATTAATTATATTTTGAACGATTTCGCCAATTTAAAATTTTAGGAATTTATGTGACTTCACTCTTGACTTTCAGTTTAATATGACCGAACAATTTATAAGAAGTAGAAAAATTTATCCATCGTGATTTCATTGGGTTTGGTCGATAACCTATTTGTCCGAATTCCTTACAAATATTTTATTTAAATTAATATTTATTAATTAAAAAAGGTCACATAACATTTTTATTTTTCCTTTTATTAAAAAAAAAATGTATTACACGTTTAAAATAACATATAACAGCTGAATTATCAATGTTTTTGCACTTCGATCCTTTGCCCTTTTGTTATCTTACGCGATAAACATGTACTTTTGATTTGGCACGTCGCGTCGTACGTACTCTTATGATTTACGTGCCAAGTAACGTCATACATTTAGACCAAATATACGTATACTAGATATATATGTAGATAACCTATTAGTTGTCAGCCACAACTTTGTCCGCGCGGAATTAAAAAAAAACTTAGTTATATGTTCTACATCTGTGCCAAATTTCATCGAGATACATGCAACCGTTCTCGAGATAACCTCTAACAAACATCCATCCATACAAATATTAGCATTTATAATATTAGTAAGATAGACGGAGTTTTTAACAAGTTTGACGTCTTATTGAAAGTAAATTTTCCAAATGTCATTTCAAGTTGAGTTGTGAGGCATTTTTCCCCCCACAATCTACTTGCGCATTGGTCCTTTTTTATCAAGCGTTTAAATACTTGTATTTCTGTGTATCTGTTTAAAATGGCAGTGGTTTTAAAACGCTAGGCTTTTATACTTCTCATCATTGCATTTTGAGGGCTAGTTGAACGGAACAAGAGTGATTTTAAAACTTTCGTCACTCGAAACCCCCGGTACTAAAAAAGCGCCCGTCTTATACAGCATAGTATTGTGTTTTTATCATTTGTAACAACTAAGAATATAGTTGTTTTTTTAATTTCAGATGCTGCCATTTTAGTGCCAAAATATATCATGGAACGTGGTGATTAAATTGTGTAAGACACCAATTATGTTTATTATAGGTAAATATTTATGATTACAAACCTTAGATTTTAATATCATAACAAGGCTGGAAAGATTTTTCTTCATTTATCTGAATTTTTACGTTGAAGTATGAATTCTTTTAATATGAAATCAATCTAGACAACATTTTTGACAACTGACAACCGCCATGTTTTTTGCCAAAGAAAAAAGATAGACTGTCATCATTAAAACCATAAACACAATCGTTTTTTTTTTCAGAAAGCATACGAACAAAGCAGATTTTAAAATGGACCGGATATTGAGTTGTGAAAAGTACGTGGCTATTCATTAATTACGGCAGGATTTCTATATGGTTATAGGTTCATGGAATATATTTACATACTTTTATACAGGGTGGTCCAACCCATTTTTTAATATAATAGCGTTACGCATAATTAATTTTTCCTAACATATCCAATTCTAACAAATTTTACATAAAAGAGAATATGATTTGAGAAATCTTTTTTTAATTTTACATGAAGGTAAGAAAAGTTCGAAAATGTCAAAAATAACCTTCAAATGAATAACATCTTTATTGTTCCAGAGTTCAAATCACATGACAATGGTTTATAACAGGACATTGAATGTGTAACTAAACAGCCTCTAAAGTTATTTAAATTTTAGCGTATTTGAATTTGCATTTGTAGTTTTATATTTAGCCGTTATTTAATTTTTATAATACAATTGTGATATTTTTAGTTAATATAAGTTTATACTATGTATTTGTGACGGATTCTCTCATATTTGTAGTCACCAAGAATATAAAAATCCTTGCCAAATGTCAAACGGCGTCAAACATTATTTTCCAATATACGCCAAAAAATAATCAATTTTTTCTGCAAAGTGGCAACGGGTTCTATATTTCTGGTCGGGCTATTACCATACAAACACGTATAAAAATATTTTAACCATAGACAAACTGCACATTTTCACTACTCCCTGTGATTTTCAAAGTATTTCTGAACATTTTCTCATTAAATGTACTAATCATATAGTACTATTATCTCTTAATTTTAATTCCATAATGTTTAAAAATACTTATAAAAAAATCGTAATGGCCCTCATGTAACGTTCCTTTGTGTATTATATTGGAATGAATGAAATAAAACTGGTGCTAATTATTTGAATGAGTGCAAATAAGTTCACTTTGATAACCTTGTATGTGAAGATATATATTAATATTAAACTGATAAGAAGCAATATAAACATAGAATTAAACTTTACGTAATTAGTTTAACTATCATAGATATAAAACCTATAATTGTTTTTAGACATTATTATCTAGAATCCTTTGTCGCGAATGGCGCGCTTTCGTTACAAAGTCAAGTGTCAGAATGATTAGTGAGGAGATATAAATGTCGACATATTACTAAGGCCAGTACACCGGCACAGTGCCTTTCTTCCAACAAATGCCAAATCCGGAGCACAAAAGTGAAGAAAAAAATGCCTTTGGTAGACTTTTGGCGGGATAATTCCTTCAGTGTTGTCATTTACAATATAAAATGACATTTGGAAAATGAAAATCACTCTCGACACGAATCTTTGTCTATGACTCTAGAGACGTCAAACTTGTATGAACCATTTCATAGGTTGTATATCTATGTTTGTATGTTAATCATTTGTAATATTATTTAATAAGGAAATAGATTTATTATGTACCTCATTATTTATACGTTATAAATACAAAACGAAATTATTTTACTAATTTTATGGAATAATTCTTGCTGTTAGCATCAAGTGCATAAATTATTCAGAACAAGGAATTGTCATTTATATTATTTTAACTTTTATACGACTGTAAATATTTTGAAATGACAAAATGGGCAGAAATGAACTAAATAATATGAAGTAAGAGTTTTTGTTTCGATTACATACCCTTTTTAAAACCCTCAATATACGACAATTGAAACAATGGAAAGAAAAGTGAGCAAAAAGTAGCTGGTTTTAAATAAATCTGTATTTTAAAAGAAGGAAACTAGATAAGGACATTGACGAATTACAAATTTCCATACCATTGCAGATAAAATATCTCAGATTGTAAAGTAACTTGACAGATTTATGTATTAATAGAATTATTCTGGAAAGGCGGTAAATAATTAGTGTGCAGTGTGCATAAAAAACTGGTATATAAACGTCTATCTACAGACCAATATATTTAGATCTACAGATAAAGATTGCCTTGGAAAAGACTGTGGCGCAAAAGCCTGGGAGCTAAATCTCGAACTGGGATTGGCTCCCGCGTTTTCTCGCCAGAGAGACAGGACGCGAACACGATACGTTGCATACAAAAATACTGGGAGTGAATTAATTGTAATACCGTGCTCCTTTAATTTAATATATTTCGTGCGTAGCAAAATATGCGTTTTATTATTGTTGCTTCACGTTATTGACATTTACGTTCATGGGTATATCTTAAACCTAACTAAGAAAACCCATAAGACAATGTTATCTCTACTTTTAGTTCTAATCGCTCCATTCGCAACTTCATATGTCATAATGGCGAAAATCACTTATGCACAAAATACCTTCCCTAGCCTGTCCAGTGATTTATAGAGGTCAGTGATTGTAATCACAAGACCAAGCGAAGTGCCTGCCGCAAATATTGGCGATTGAAATATTCTCGTTAATGTGCATGGAAAAACATTAATAAACTAATGTTATAAAATACCTGTTTTATAATTTCCCTTTTTTAAAAATGTATTAATTTTCTTAAAAATTAAAGTATTTGTCTATGGGCAAACAATAGGTGATCGTTTTTCTTGGCACAATTTTCATGAGAAATGCAGTATCGTACGTCGATTGGTTGGCAATCGGTGTTTAAATTTTTTTAACCAATCTTGTTCCAGTTTTAAGTTTGCATTCGTTCGAGAACACACTCAAATTTTCTCAAAGGTTTTTTTTTAAAACGAGAACATTCCACTTATTTTTTAACATGGCAACACATTTAAAACTTCTGTGCAGTGCGCAGGTCGCTTTGCTCAGAAAAATATAAAATCTTTCTTTCAATGTTGCGTCATCCACATGTTCTGTTTGAAGTGAAATAAGACGTGAAATAATTTGTTAGGGTACATAAAAATAACTTAAAAATGTTGTCCGCTACGCGGGTGATGGGTCGTAAGGCCTTCCAGTGCTCTGGTTTAACTGCAGACATTACGCACAGGAATTTTTCCACAATTCTCAAAAATGTAAGTATCCATTTTAATTTTTAAAACGAATGAAAATCGTTTGTCACAAATAAGGTGTTTTGTAATGTTTCTAATGTAGATTAAGTCTAAACTTTATTGTATTTTTATAAATTATTATTGAATTCATAACCGGTGTCGTAACGTTCGAGAATCGGCACATGTGTACGAATTCTCTGATTAAAAAAAATTAAAAACTTTTCCAATATTTCCAGGTTGCATCACCCACAGTTCCTATTTACCAACGCCATGCGGTCCAGTACAGGCATAAGTGAGTTAGAACTTTATTAATTTCACATAATTTCGTCATAACCTAAAACCGTATAATGAGAATTATTTCCTAATGATTTATTCAATAGATGCTGGAAATATGGTGATTAGTATAATACTAGTAGTATTCGTGACTTGTATGTATTAACAATATACTATTGCATAAGATACTGCTCATTTTTTTTTATCTCTAATGACGTTTTTAGGTTAGACGAGTAGTTGCAAAAGTAGATGTTTGAATTTAAATATTACATTAGATTATCTACGTAATCCTAAAACTAAAATATGTATATCTTTGACAACACAAAGAACAATAAAGGAACTTACTTCTACGAAGGGGAATTTCTTTGAAAAAGAAACCTTGATACAGCCCAAGTATAAATACTATGAACATATGCTTGGTTTACTTTACGCCAATACTGTAGCACAGTAGTCTACCACCAACTGGAATCCATGAACCAGAATTGTCCCTGCCAGGCCAGTACTACTGCCCTACTGTACAGTCAGCTGCATAAATTTAAATATAAAGCTTCCGAAGCACATAACCTTTGGTTCAAAAAATATGTATATGCATATCAGTTATTAAGCTTCCAATTATGAATTACTAACTATCAACTGGGACTCTGTCTGCACAGGATTAAACTTAATGTGTAGTCTATGTGTTTTACCATACATACTCTACATCAATGCCAAATATCAAACTATATAAAATCTAAAACATCCATCCATCTAAACATTCAAATTTATTATATTAGCAAGATTCTACTGGCAAAGACATGTTTACTTATTATTGAAACTAATGGTGTAAACTGATATAGCTGACTGTACTTGTTTGTTGTAAACCAGGCATTAATATTGAATGTATTAGCTTCTCTACAACTTACACATGTGTTTTGATTTCTTTTTATTTGTGAATTTTGCACCTTTGAGCGGTGACAGTACTTATGTGCTGTAAACCTTTGCGGTTGGTGCTAAAATAATGATTGAATAGTTATATGCTCTGTGGTATGCTACAGAACAATATTAGACAATCTACAATTATTCTCATACTTCCTGGCCTTATCCTACTGATGTTGGGTCTATGCAGAGGTTATAAACCTTAAAGTCCAGTGTCTACTGCATGTTCATCATCAGCTCACTATAAGTCCCCACTGAGGGGCTTAGAGCCTAGCGATGTTAGATGTGTCTAGGCCATAGTCAACCACTCTGGTACATGGCTGGATTTGTACCCAGGACCTGCAGATTACAAGTCAAGTGTTTCTAAGTTTCTTTTTAATTGCCTAACCCTATCCAGCCATCTGTTCCTAGGCCTACCTTTGAATTTATATAAAGGAAAAGTATTTAGGACTGGTGAGTTACATAGCTATGTTTGTTGTTCAGGTCGGAAGGTGTGCGTGGGGCAGTCATTGGTATTGACTTGGGCACCACTAACTCATGTGTTGCGGTCATGGAGGGCAAGACTCCCAAGGTAAAGTTATAAAAGCATTTTCCAATTAGCAAATGGAACACTGGCTGGAACAGGTTTTCCAGCCAGTTACAGTTGCGACATTGTTTAAATGTTGGCACCGCCGATCAGCTGTCCTGTACATACGTTACAGCTTTTGCAGCGGTGCGAGAGAGACGCGCGGAACCAGCTAGTCACGGTTATTACCGATGGCTTTCCTAGATACCACGCTACATTTTTACTACCTTTTATAATTTTATTTCGTACTATAGTTTAAAATACAGTCAGTGTTGACTCGAATATCGAGTTTTGCACTATATTAGCACAGAACTTGCTATAAATCATCATCATCATCAGCTCACTATATGTCCCCACCGAGGAGCCTACCCAAAGTTAAGGGTGACTAGGCCATAGTCAGCCACGCTGACCCAGTACTTACATGTTGTTGACTTCACACATATCTTTGATTTTCTTCTTAGATATCAGGAGGTTGAATCACGATGTTTTCCTTCACCGTAAGTACGTCGGATAAATGTACATAGGTGAACAGAAAAGCGAAAAAAACACATTAGCACATGCCGGGATTCCAACCCAAGACCTGTAGATTACAAATCAAGGGCTTGAACGCCTAAGCCATCGGCGCTTTATCTATAATTTATCTACAAATATCTCTAACAAATGGTGTAAATATAGGTTGTGGAAAACAGCGAAGGTTCTAGAACAACGCCGTCGCACGTCGCGTTTTCCAAAGATGGCGAAAGATTGGTCGGTATGCCCGCGAAAAGACAAGCTGTTACTAACAGTGGGAACACGTTTTATGCAACTAAAAGACTGATTGGAAGACGCTTCGACGACCCTGAAGTGCAGAAGGATATGAAGAATCTCTCTTACAAAGTGGTTAGAGCTTCGAATGGTGATGCTTGGGTTCAAGGTAAGATTATTATTGGATTTCTTCAAATTACAGGTGTGAACTTAGGATAGGATGAGAAAGGGCAGTGGTATTGACGGAGGACGGAGAAATATATAATTTTAGACATTATTAGTTAGAATCATTTGGCGCGATTGACTTGCTAACATCATCGACGTCGTACCATCATCAGCTCACTACACATCCCCACTAAAGGGCTCAGGGCCTACCCTAAGTTAGGTTGACAAGTATAAGTTAAAAAATTTATCAAAAACAAAAAAATTGGTAATCAAGATTTATTACACTAAGACTTAGTTTGTAAAGAAATATATCAGATTGTAGATTTTTTAGATGTTGTAGTTCTAAAGATGATTCAATATTGGCACCGCCGATCAGCTGTCTCGTTCATACGGTTCAGCTTTTGCAGCGGTGCGAGAGAGAAGCGTGGAACCAGCTAGTCACGGTTATTACCGCTGACTTTCCTAGATACCACGCTACATTTTTTTAAAATTAAACATTGTTAGTCTTAACCTTGTTACTGGTACACTTATGTAAATTAGACAATTTCGGCCCATACGATAAAATATAGCTTCATTTGATAATGCGTAGTTTACATAAAGCCAGTACAGTTGAGCAGTAGATGGTCTGGAATGGATAGTTTTGAATCACTGACTCAAGTGTACTAAGCATATAAGGAAATGTAGAAATAAAAAAGAATTTTGCATTAATTGATGCGAACTTTCAGGTAGTGACGGTAAAGTGTATTCACCAAGTCAGATTGGTGCATTCGTACTGATAAAGATGAAGGAGACAGCGGAGGCCTATCTGAACACTTCGGTGAAGAATGCAGTGGTCACAGTGCCTGCATACTTCAATGATTCTCAACGACAGGCTACTAAAGATGCTGGTGAGTGTTTTTATATAATCCCACTGCCTTATAAATGGAATGGCTATAACACATAGTATTTTGTGCCTAAAAAGACACATGAAATTATTTAATGAATTAAATAGAACTTGCATGTAACATCAATAGGCGCGTTTATATCGGAACAAATTAAATGCTGTAATTTTCTAACTATTCCCTATCTATTTATAGAGATCAGTGCGGTGCAATTATATTTTGTTACTAGCGGACCCGACAGACGTTGTCCTGTCTAGACGTCTTTAATTTGAATATTATTTAAAATTTGACAGTGCGATGGTAGCGCCGTCTGTCGGATCCAATGTAAAACGTGTCCAGTGACATACACACTCACAGAACAATTATATATATAAAGATACCAACAATTCGCTCATCTGATAGAACAACGAGGTAATTGATTTTGTAGAAAAATAATTGTAACTCTACACATAAAAGTTCAATGAGCGTTTATTGTAAAAAGGTAACCACAGAATACAGTGCAGAGAGTAAAGACTGATGGAGATAACTTTATGTTTATCACAGACTAATTTAAATAAGTACATTTGTTGTTTATTCTTCCTACAGATTTTTTTAGAGATTATCATTTTTGGTTTGTTTGAATCCTACATCTTTGTTTCATCGGATGAGCAAATTGTTAACCACTTGGTTAAATTATAAACTGACTGGTCAGATTATAATTTGATTAATGCCCATATATAGTTACTTAGTTTAGTAATATTGGCAATACTTTGTCTAGGCCAAGTATTGTTGTGTAGTGTTTTCATTTAATATGAAGCACTTTAGATCAGCCGTCCCGCTCATGCGTGGCGCGCTTCTCCCACGGTGCGAAAGAGACGCACGATCTGATTCAGTCCAGTTTCATACTGGATATTGATGTAGATTGTGCTACATATTTTTTTTTTGGTTTGCACCCTTTTTTAATTTTTTAAAACACCCCTTTATGTATTGCTTTATTTTTAAGGCATGGTTTTTGAAATATTTACATGGGTAATAACAGTCTCTATAACCCTAGGATTATACTTATGTTAAAACTTATTGAAATTAAGATTACATTATTTATTTTTGATCAAATTGTTTTGAAAATAAAAACTCGCTCTTAAAAAAATCTATATAAATAAAAGAAAGTGGTGTTAGTTACACTATTTATAACTCAAGAACAGCTTTACCGATATGCCTGAAAATTGTTGAGGAGGTAACCTAGAGCCAGGAGACGGACATAAGATACTATTTTTTTTTTCGAATTTATGCCTTGAAGTGCGGCTTTTTATTTAACTTATCTATATATTAAATTTTTTTATAAATCCACACAGACGGAGTCGCGGGCGACAACTAGCATGTTATAAAATGCAATATGATTCATTTTTCTTGTTATGAAACAATCCATTTCTTATGCTGGGGTAAACGGTCTAGTTGTTGACCATAAAATTAGACGAAAAAAATGACTATTTAAATTGACGAATTATTTCAAATACTTTTTAATAACAGACATTTAACATATATTTGATATTTATATAAATATTTTTATTTAGGTCAAATTGCGGGTTTGAATGTGTTACGTGTGATCAACGAGCCGACAGCCGCAGCTCTGGCGTACGGCATGGACAAGTCTGATGATAAAATGTAAGTACAAGAGTGGACAAAGAGAAAAAATACCAATTGCTACCGAAACCTACCAAAACACTACCAAAAAAATGCACTTTGACAAGTAACACTATTTTTTTTTGCTATCTAACAAAACCTTTCCAATTTAATCTTATTTTAGCAGTTCAGAGACATAATTTGTTACCAACAACTACCAAATTTCTTTTAGTAGTCACAAAACCTACACAATTCAAACCAAAAATATCAAATTGTTTGTTGGGTTTAGGTTATAATTGTTTAAAAAGACATATGAATAAGACTTAGTCATACCAAGGCCAAGAGACCGTGATATTTTTCTCTCATAAGTTTCTAACCCGAGTTCCTCTAATAGAGGTCTCACTTGTAGTGGTTTGTCACTTATCCCGGTTTGACTGTATTAGCACCGCCGATCAGCTGTTCTGTTTATACGGTTTAGCTTTTGCAGCGGTGCGAGAGAAACGCGTGGAACCAGCTAGTCACGGTTATTACCGATGGCTTTCCTAGATACCACGCTACATTTAATATTAAAATAACATATTATAAACAAGCGGTCGTTCGCGCAGAATTAAAAAAAAACCTTATTTAGTAGGCTATGTCTTCTTCCATACATGTATGCCAAATTTCAGCGAGATCTAATCAGCCGTTCTGAAGATACTTTTTAACAAACATCCATCCATATTTTATAATATTAGTAATTACTAAAGTAATATTAAGATTTGCATAAGCATAATAAATTGATGACTCAGGGATTAAGCACTTGACTTGTAATCTGGAGGTCTTGGGTTTGAATCCCGCCAAGCACAAATGTGTACATTTATCCTACATTCTTACGGTGAAGGAAAACATTATGATGCTGCATATATCTGAAAGTCAAAGACATGTGTGAAGTGACGCACTGGACCAGCGTTCACTATGACATAGTCACATCACTTAGGGTAGACTCCGAGATCCTCAGTTGGGATGTATGAGCTTGATGATGATGATGAATGTACTTTACAGGTTTGTGACTTAAGGCTTGTTTTATTCCAGTATCGCGGTATATGATTTGGGAGGTGGTACATTTGATATCTCTGTACTTGAGATCCAGAAAGGCGTGTTTGAAGTGAAGTCAACCAACGGTGACACTCTACTTGGAGGTGAAGACTTTGACAATGTCATTGTCAACTTTTTAGTTGACGAGTTTAAACGTGACGTAAGTATATTGAGTTTTTAACTAAAGTACATTTCATGAGTGACTTAAAAAAAACTTAATTAAACATTTCAGCGAGATCCAATTCAAAGATACCTTAAAACATCTATCCATCCGAATATTCGCATTTATAATATTAGTAAGATTTTTTTATATAATATTCAAAAAAGGTTGGTTGTAATTTGTAACTTTTTTTACTTTTTTACTACTTTTGTACTGATCATAAAAAACTACTAAACTACTACACTAAATATTAAATGAAGATTACTATAATACATTAGTGAAAAGCTAATTTAAATTTATTCAGCAGTTTCTATGTTAAACGCACACAAACACACAGACAAAATGACATAAAAATAGTTTTTTTTTTAGTTATATAAAACACCCCCTAAGATTTTTTTTCGTCAATTTTACCCGAATAACTTTGGAATCGATGGATTGTATATATGTAGGTTTATAAGTCCATTGTGACATTCTATAGTGTTAACACATTTAGACAAGTGTGGTGTCATTTGACTCTTAATTTAAGTGTCATGGGCATTCAATCAACTTTTTTTTGTTTTTCTTTAACAATTGTAGTTATAATTTTAAAATTTGCATTACAGCAAGGTCTCGATATTCGTAAAGACGCGATGGCGATGCAACGTCTTAAAGAGGCAGCGGAGAAAGCAAAGATTGAGTTGTCCGGTTCCCTGCAGACTGACATCAACCTGCCGTACCTAACTATGGATGCTTCCGGACCTAAACATATGAACTTGAAGGTAATATAGTTTGCTAATGTTGTGAATTTATTAAAAAAAACCTGTAAATTTTACGTCAACAGTTTCTCCGACTTACATAGGGTAAACACACTAGTTTTGGTTCGCCAAATTGATGTTCCTTGATTTCTGTTGTTACTACCTTTTTAATTATTTTACATTTCACGCAATCTATAATATTCAAAAGCATTGCCATCAGATGGGCTAAGCTAGATATGGGGGGGTAATTTCTTTTTTCAAAGATTAGAACAAGCAATAGGAAAAACTAACTAGTAGTTTTTGAGTTATTTGGCTATAGAGGAATTGTAGTATGTTTTCCCCCTCATTGAACACCCAAGTGGGGAGCTCCTGGTGACGCCCATACATCAATGATTCATCCATAGATAATAGTTTTTGTATTATATGCACTTTAATTCAGTAAATTTCCAACAATATACGTTTGTTGGATAATATTAAAGTGCAAGACTGACACAATATCTGAAACCGCCCGCCTCTGGCGTCATGCTGGGGAGGGTCAAACGATTTTGTAACAACTGAACATAAAAAATAGCGGCAACCATGTTTGATGGAGTTTGACATTTCTCTTTTTATATTTCTCTAGTTAAGTTGGCATCAATTATAATTGTAAGGTGGCAAACGAGCTGGCCACCTGAAATCGCTGAAATAGCGAAGCGACCGTTGTCCATAGACAAACGCAATTATGGATGCGTTGCCTACCTTTAATCAACGGAGGGGCCATACTGAAAGAGAATATTTCTTTAAATCATCTTCCCCTTTCGTTCCCTTACATGAAAATGGGAAGGGGCATAAAATTAGACAAAGCCCTCCCGAACACATGTACACCTTTTTTATATCAGATCATAAAGATCCCCTGTTCTTGGTGGGGGAAAAGGGTTATGTGGGGTTTGACCCACTAAAGCTTGCACTAGAGCCTCATAATTTTAGTGGTATTTGAAAACTTTCAATACTATAATAATATCTTTATTGCAGATGACTCGATCCAAGCTGGAATCACTAGTGGGTGATCTAATCAAGCGAACTGTGGCTCCCTGTCAGCGTGCGCTGCAAGACGCTGAGGTCCAGAGATCTGACATCGGTGAAGTGCTACTCGTTGGTGGCATGACAAGGATGCCAAAGGTTGGTATCCTTACCGTCGGTTTCTGAGACATAAATCACCGCTTAAAATACATGCAAAATGCTTATACAAAAATTTTGAACTCTCAAACCAACAATTACAGTTTCACTTGTAATTTCTAAAAATATAGTCGTCGAATTAAAAAAACATTATTAGTAGTCTGCGTTCTTCAAGACTATGTTCTATATGTATACTTAATTTCATCAAGATCCATACAGCTGTTCTGAAGATACCTTCACATTCATTTAAACATTTATAATAGTAAGATTTACTGTGTTTGATTCTTGTTTTCTAAAATATAAATATATGCACCTTAGCAAGCCTATTTTAGTCCTATTTGATTGTCTAGGCTGATTTAAATTGGTGCTAGAACAAACTGGAGACATATTCCCCGGCTGTGCTACGTGTGTTGTCGGGTTATTTTCTCACAGACATTTCTACTACTTAAGATCCATCTTACTAATATTATAAATGCGAATGTTTATATGGATGTTTCTAAAAATGGCTGAACAGATCTCAATGAAATTTTGCACTGATGTTGAACATAGTCTGGAAGAAAACATAGGCTACTAATTAAGTTTTTTTTTTAATTTCTTGCGTAAGGAGTCGCTGGCTACAGCTTGTTCATTTATAAAGATAAATGCTCCTTAGGTTCAACAAACAGTCCAAGATATCTTCGGGCGTGCGCCATCTCGCGCCGTGAACCCTGACGAGGCGGTGGCTGTGGGCGCGGCGGTGCAGGGCGGCGTCCTCGCCGGTGACGTCACTGACATCCTGCTGCTCGACGTGACTCCACTCTCCCTCGGCATCGAGACCCTCGGAGGAGTCTTCACAAAGCTCATCACCAGGAATACTACTATACCGACTAAGAAGAGCCAAGTTTTCTCCACCGGTGAGTACATACTACACGTGTACCACTTTTACCTAAGATTTTTTTTTAATTTACGGCATCAGTCAGAAAAAAATCACCATGTGTATCTTAACCTATATACGTTATATGCCTAGAAATACCTTAAACTCAAAAAAAAAATAGGAAAAGCAGAAAGGGGCTTCTCGGAAATTTCCTTGTTTTTTTTTTCAGGTAATAATAAAATTAGAAGTTTCAAATATATCAGTGACTATATCACTTTCTAATTTTATAACTAGCTACTAACTTTTACCTGAGACAGAATTAAGAAAAAAAGTATTTTTCTAGGTAAAGTTTCAAATCTATACCAATTTCATCTGGATCCATTGTTTAAGTTTTAATTCTAAAATACTTAGTGTATATTAAATATTTTTATGCAATAAGCACACATCTAAGCCATTCGATTACAATAATCGCGTGGTAAAGCTGCGTGCGAGAGGAATATGGTTTGTCGCGCGAACTGTAGCGTTGTTTGCGTCACGGTACGATACGCTGACCTACATTTTAATATAGAACTTTTACACACTATTAGTTTGAATCCTTTGGCGCTAATGACGTGATTTCGTAACAAAGTCAAGCGTCAGAATGATTAGTGACGGGATATAAACGTCGACATTTTAGTAAGGCTAGTGTTGCGTCAGTACACCGGCACAATGTCGGATTTTACTTCCTAACAGTACAAACCAGGATAAGCGAGCGTAAAGGACCGTGATATTTTCCTCCCCCAGGGTCCCTAACCCGAGCTTCTCGTTTATGAAAGTCGTCCGTCGGGATCGGACTGATTCTTGCTTATCCAATTGCGACTTTACCTAATATTTCATAGCAATATTGATGATATTTTCAGATTTTTTATTTGTGGGAAATTCAGTTTAAGATCCACAAAAAAATTGCCATTGAATCCACTACCGAATCCATTTATTTTTCTTAAGGGTTCTACGACAAAAAGTCTAGATATATGTAATATAATATGAATCAATAATTTTTCTTTTTCCAGCTGCCGACGGCCAGACCCAAGTTGAGATCAAAGTACACCAAGGTGAACGTGAAATGGCGAGCGACAACAAACTGTTAGGCCAGTTCTCTCTTGTTGGAATACCGCCCGCACCCCGCGGCGTGCCTCAGATTGAAGTCACCTTTGATATCGACGCTAATGGCATCGTACACGTCTCCGCACGCGACAAGGGCACCGGCAAGGAACAGCAGAGTTAGTATCCATTGCACTTTGTCCATGTATCCATACAGCACTTAATGGATGGACGTCTACATTCACGAAGACTGCAGGAACTAGAACAATTAGTATTCAAACACTTTGTAAATGTACCCATAGCACACTGTACATGAACCCATACAACACAACACAGCTTAGGCAACCTTTTTTGTAATTACACGGCCGTCTGAGTTCAAGAAAGCAAAGGATACGCATACCCATATCCATATAATTAAATGCCAACCACATATTGTACAAGCTTCCTGAGGCCCATTACTGCCTTACAGTTTGCTGTGTGTGAAATTGTAAAGAACAGAATAGTTTGTACCCGTATCCATTGCACCTGTATCCATTGATACAACACTAATCATAAGGAAGCCTTTGATATGCACCACATTTCTTATATAATATTCAGCTCCACAATAGCTGAATATTTGTAAATGTGTGCAATAAAAAATGGATTGTCGCGCGAATCGCTACGTTTTTTGATGCAGCGATACGATACGCCTTCCAACAAAATATACAAGAATTATTAAATATATAGCAATATCGAAAATCTATCATGTATTTATAGTTACAGACATATTAGGGAACATACCCATACTACGTGACCTAATTTTTTTTAGTTTTTTTCCATCCCATGCATCGCATCATCCGGAAAATCCTCTTCCTCACCTTTTAAGAAAAAGGGTAGGAAGTGAAAGAGCATTATAGTTAGGCTTCCGGGACGCACACTAACCAGACTGTACGCGGAATAGCTTCCACTTGAGGCGTGTCTTCTGTATGGTCGAGGGTATTTCACCGGACGAGCCGGGAAAATTCGTGTGAACATGTTAAAGTGGGCTCTACCACTGTTATTTATATAGGAACTATAGAGGTATTCAGTTTCACAAATATGACGTATTTATCTTCCAGTCGTGATCCAATCATCGGGAGGTCTATCAAAGGATGAGATTGAGAACATGGTGAAGGCGGCGGAACAGTTCGCGGCACAGGATCAGCAGAGACGTGAACGAGTTGAAGTTTGCAATCAGGCGGAGGGAGTACTTCATGATACTGAGACTAAAATGGACGAATACAAGGCTCAACTACCACAAGACGAGGTAGGCAAAGTTTTAACATAAACAAACTGATCCTATAAGGGTTCCGTTTTTTCCTCTCGAGGTATGGAACCCTAAAAATGTAATTTTATACTTTAATGACAGTTCTAAAAGGAATTTAGAGCAGTTTTTACATTGAGAGCCCTTCCCCCCTTTTATATATACTATAAGGTGGCAAACCAGTAAAAGGACCATTTCAATTCGCCGACATGACGAAGTGATATCTGGTACATTAAATCAACTTCCCCTTCTTATCTTTACTTGTAAGAAAAAGGGGGAACTAAAATAAAAAATAAAAGTACTCTTCGTAGTCAGCCCCCTCTGTAAAAGCACTTCTCTTTACCATCCTTTCCTTATAAAAAAAGGTTAGGAAAGGTAAGACTAAAATTAGACTTTCTATGCGTCCCCCTCTCTGTCAAATCCATTTCCATGTTTTCCTTATAAAATAAGGGGGGAAGTGAAAAGACACAAATTAGGCTTCGTATGCGTTCCTTATAAGAAAAAGTTGGGAAGAGAAAAGGCCTAAAATTAAATCTCTAGAGTACATACTTATCAGACAAAACACAGAATTCCTTCCACCTGTCTGCCTCGTATTAGGAAGCTTTAATACGTAAATTGAAATTCACCATAGTTAATTTATCTCTCAGTGTGACAAGCTACGTGAGGAGATCACCAAGCTGCGTGAACTTCTCGCCAACAAGGATGCTGTTGAGCCGGAGGCAATCCGCACAGCCACCGGTCAGCTGCAGCAGGCCAGCCTCAAGTTGTTCGAGCAGGCTTACAAGAAGGTTTGGGAATTTTAACACTTTTACCATGAATCATTATTTCGTCTAGATTCATTTTTAATTCTCGATTTTAATATAATACAAGGGCTAATGTATGGATGGAAGATTTTAAGAAGAGTATAACTAACATTGGGATTCGAGAATATTATATATCTTACTAATATTATAGATGCGAATGTTTGGATGGATGTTTTTTTGAATGTATCTCCTTAACGCCTAAACGGATCCTGCTGATATTTGTCATAATAGATGTAGAGCATAGTCTGGAACAGTGGTTCCCAAACTTATTTTGTCTACTGCCCACTTTGAGAATAAATATTTTTTTAGCGCCCCCATATTTTCACATACGCAGCGCCCACAAGGGGGCGTTATCGCACACTTTGGGGAAGACTAGTCTGAAAGAACACATAAGCTACTGATTACGCAAACGACAGAATCGCGTCTGTTATAAGCTACACTATTCCCTTGTGAAATAAGTTAGATTCATTACCAGATTTTTTAAATTCCAACAACTTGTATGAAAATTGCACAATTTTGAGCCGGCCCACATAACTATAGTGAAGTCGGTCAAGCGATTGTGCTAAATTAAATAAAGTGAGTTATCATCTATTGTTATATATTATGGACAATGGAAGATTTACACTTTATACATGATAGAGGAAGACGGAAGTATGGATGGATGGATTTTATGTAAGAAAGGAGGTTCTATATCTATGCCAAATTACAGCGAGATTCATACATCCGGAGATACCTTCTAACAAACATCCATCTAAACAATCCCATTTATAATATTAGTAAGACTAGTTGACAAGTCCGTCCGCGTGGAATTAAGAAAAATCTTAATTAGCCTATGTGTTCGTCCAGACTATGTTCTACATCTTTGACAAATTTCATCAAGATATATTAAGCCGTTCCGGAGATACTTTATAACAAACATTCATCCATACATCCAAATATGTATTTATTATATTAGAAATATAAATCTAGCCTTTATTTGCGAATCTGTGGCCCTACTAGACTATGTTCTACATTTATGAAAAATATTAGTAAAATCCATGAAACCATTCCGGAGATACCTTCTAACAAACATCAATACATGTATTTATAATATTAAGACATATTAATGTTTATTAGATGGCTGCCGAGCGCGAAGGTCAGCAGCAACAGCAACAGCAGAGCGAGCCCCAAGAAGACAAGAAAGAAGAGAAGAAGAATTAAGCACAAAACAAGAGGAATACCGTTAGTTCTTTGTAAATAGTTTATTGTTTACTTGTATGGTTGAAATACATTTCCATACGTACATACAATTACACTAATTTGAACTACCAATAGCCTAAAGGTTCACAATCTAAGTGTCATGGGTTTGAATAAGAATGTTACAAACAATGTACTTCAATCCTTACTTAATTTGTATTTTGTATTGAAATTCCTTTTATTTGCAATACGATAAAAAATACGATTTACTTAGTTGTTTTTTCTTTCTGCTTGGTCCTTAAGAGTCCTAGCGTGATAGTGTTTGTATAACTTTACGAATTAATTGGGCTATTGAATGCTACAAGAATTTTTATATATGTTTAGTATTTTTGGACATTCGGACGAACAAACTATAATTTAACTATATTTACGGTTGTTTTCTGAGACCAATATCTGTATGAAACACATCTATTTCATTATCTTTGATAAAACAGATGTAATGTTTTAAATATATTTTGGTCTCAGAAACTTACTGCTAGTGTGCGTTTGTTTGTAAAGATACAACCATACAAGTTTACAAATTAGTTGATACCAAAATATTAGAATTTGATGTATTGTGCGTTTTTATGTTTACTTCTCATTGTATTTTGTTAAAACAAATTACAGACGGAGGAAACTTGGCGCCATATGTCACCTGTCAAAATTGACACAAGGCAAAGGCGACGTCGTCGTACAGCCACAACTGTCAGCTGTTTTGACATTTTTTTTTTATTTACATGCAAAAGAAACTTTATGCCACTCGATTGCTTTTATTGAATTTTAAATTACAATATGATTTCCAGTGATTTCTAAATATTTTAGACTAAATGTTGAAATTTAACCCTTAATTCGGCGAAATTTTTTGTAGCAAAAAACTTGTTTTTTTTTTAGTAAAATCATCTAGCAGAGAACTAGTTCAGTAGATTTTTTTTAATTAGTTGTTCGTCACAATGGACACCATCGAATTAAGGGTTAAATGCATTATTTTGACATGTTTTTATATCAAGTCTTGGTGGATATTAGTGGCATGTTTGACATATTGGGCAGTTCCATACGATGAGTATTTTTTAGATATATGTAATTCGCAGTTTACGGTTTGTCCAGGTGTATCGTACTGGTAGGTTTTAGTAGGTTTCAGTTGATTATTATTAAAAATGTAATATATATTTTTAAAATGAATGTATGAAGTGACTCTGTGAATGGAAAAAAATACAGTAAAAATTGTAGTCTATGTGTTCTTTCAGACTATGTTCTATATGTATGCCTAATTTAATCGAGATCCGTTCAGCCGTTCTAGAGATATCTTCAAACACCCATCCATCCACATCACACCCATCTAAACATTCGCACTTATAAGTAAGAAAAAAAAATGAATAAATAGTATCCTATGTCCGTCTCCTGGCTCTAAGCTACCTCCTCAGCAATTTTCAGACATATCGGTAAAGCCGTTCTTGAGTTATAAATAGTGTAACTAACACCACTTTCTTTTATATATAGAAGAGTGACAGCCTAAAAATAAGTTTCTGGCTTCTAAAATGACTACTTACAAATTTCCAATGCCGCTTTCAACATCATTTCGCGTTAAAAAGTATCTGATGTTCTTTCTCTGGGTCTAGACTATCTTTATACCAAATTTTATTGAAATCGGTTCAGTAGTTTTGATATGAAACTGAGACAAACGGAAAGTTACATTCTCATTTTTATTAGTAAAAGGGTATTTATTGCATATTTTAATTAAAAAAAAAACTAGGACGACTATCAATCAAATGAAGGCAAATATATATTTTAGCTTTGTCTCTGTGTGATGGTCTTTATACCAAATATGCATTTAATTTTTTTTTTTACTGGTTTCCTGTCATATATTCACAGAGTCACAATTTGTGTGCGATTAAACAGAGATGTTTTCATTTTGTTAGTTATTTTGTGATTTCCAATTTATTTTATGTTCATGTCGTTTTTTTTTATGAATAATATATTTGTAACATCTTGAAATGTTTGATGTATTTAATAAAAGTAATTTTTAATGTCTTGTGTCGGAGGCCAAGACACACTTTGGGTGGATGCACCAGCGGAGTAAGTAATTTTTTATCCTTCATATTTCTGTTCTGATTGAATAGAATCAATAGAAATTGCTTAATAATGTCTGTTTAAACGACGTATGGTTTATAGCGGATAATATTTAAAGATAAATAATATTTGATTGAAAAAACAATAAAATATTACTTATAAATACTATTCGGTTACTATGACTTGATATTGGAGGTTTTCGATGTCGCTATTAATTAATAAATTAATTAAAAAGTTGAAATCTTCATAAATAAGGTGTTTTACATGATTTTTTTGTGAGAAAAACGATATGTATGAAGTTTGAATGGCAGTAGTGTATGGATTATTTAGTGGTTAGAAGTTGTATGTATGTGTATGGCGGGGCGCGGCAGTTTGTGTTAGTCTAGTACAAATATATCTTGCAAAATTTTTTGTGTGTTTTATTTAGCACTAGGATAACATATTTTAATGTCTATGTGTTCTTCCAGACTATGTTCTACATCTATGACAAATTACAGCAACATCCGTGCAGATGTTCTGGAGATACCTTCTAACATCTAAACATTCGCATTTATAATTTTAGGTCTTAGAATTATTAATCATTTTTAAAATGTCCCAAACTATTCAAACTTCGTGAGACATTATAATAAACTCTTATAAAAACAGCTAAACACTCACGTATATTTGTCCGGTGTCGGCACAGACTAGTTTCGAGCCCATCGGGAGCCCTTCATCAGTTGAGTGGGACGTATTATTTCGCAGACGCGGCCCTCAACTCACTTAGTCGGTGTCGCCATCGGACGTATATACGTCAGTGTCTATCCGTTTTTATATAAGTTTATTGTCCCAAAACAATGAAGGTTATAAAATAAAAGCGAAATAGAACAAACACTTTTATTCAAAATAGAATCACAATTATGTAGTTTGAATACGAGAAACTTTTTTAAGTTATTACCAAACCGTTGGTTTCTGAGACCAAAATATCTGTATGAAACATGTCATCCCACAGTCATTTTAGTCTCAGAAACCTACGTTCTGAAGTTAAAATATTAGCCGGCTACCTCCGCGCCAATCGATAGCGGCTTTCCTTGCGGATCATCGTATCTGTCATTGGTAACGCAATTCATAAGTGCTGTCACACCTACCACCATGATCCCGAAACATACGGATGTAACAAACAAAGAGGCAATTATGGTCGAAGTGAAATATGGCCCGCAATTCACCTGAAAACAAAGATCTTAATCTCTATACATAGAATACAATACAATTTATTAGTAATACATAAATTACAAGTCACGAGTTAGATCAAAAAAAAAATTTAGTTAAAAATTGTGTGATGGCGAAATTCAAATATGCACAAAATATCACGGTTTATAGCCAGTCCAATAAAGTACCATAGGTTTAGTAGAGAATAAGCACTGACCTTTATAAATAGAGAGGCTATTAGTCGTTGTATTTTGTGCCTATTTGATTTTGTAATTTAAGCGTTTGCCGTAGCTATGGTTTGAGTAGGATTCTAATAATATAGAATTAAAAAACAAAAGTTATCATTTCCAAGCAGGTTCGAGATTTGGTATTATATTAGCTGTAATTTGCAATATTGTGCTCAGGTCACCTGGAGCTTTAAGATTGAGGTTAGAATACTTACGCCTGGCCCGAATCCCTTAGAATTGTTATTTCCTCTCCGGAAATCCCATTCCGGAAAAATGGTGTCGTCGTCGTAACTCCGTCCGCTGCGTCTGAATGCCTGTATCTATAAATATAACCGTCGAAAAAGAATACGAAATATTGTATTGTAAAATAAGGTTAGCAAATGTTACAGATTCAAGTGAGCAAAATTTGTTTTACCAGAAATCTTTTGGGGTCTATAACTTTTAGTGACAAATTTTCAATTTGTCTATGATGAAAAACAATTCGGATTTAGATTTGAACTATAAATATTTTTTATAAGAGTTAATTGCATTGTAGTATTGAGATTGATTGTGGACTACAAAAGGAGAGGGAGATCGAGGAATTACGCAGGAGGATATGCTAGAGAAGAGTCATAAGGCCGACAGAGTACGTACGAACCTGGTAGAAGGATATGGTGACAGCGCTGCCATCTCTCAAATTAATAATGACGAGTGGTTCCCCGCATACATAAGAATGCTCCCAGGGAGCACCAGCACACATCCTGGTACGCCCTACTTCTTCTCCCCCTTCCAGCAACGCTACATCATCTGATAAAAAAATGTTACAATGAATTGTGCGTGGAGTAATTCGGTAGGGTCCAAATCTTGACAACAAATTTGAGTAAATGATTTTCTGCAATGGCAACCCACTTTAACTGTAAAACAGTATCACCAACCTATAATCCATCCGTCCTTCTTGAAAGAGAAGTTAAATTCTAATTCAAAATCGGTGTACGCCACTTTTGTCGACAAATGTCGTCTCGTAAGTCTCTCGTCTGCAACCACGGGAGCTTGGCTGAATCTGGACTGACGTTTCGCGCTCGATGAGTAAACACCTGACCATAAACAATTATACTCTTTTAGTTAACGTTTAAATTTAGCTTTTGTTTCTTAGTGCTTAATAGCACCCGCAACTTCTATTTAAAAATTGATCACAATATTGTTTTGCTAGCTTAAATACAGATTTTAATCTCGGTAATTTGAATTTAGACAGTATAAAACATAGCAACACTAACCGACAAAGTGAAATAAGGCGTCGTTACTCTCAACAGAAACTCCAGTATCCGAAGAGATTATATTACGTTTCAAAGGTAGCACTTTAGTTTCTTTACCAAGCATAGGATTATTTTTGCCAGTATAAAACCCAAGAACCGGTCCAGTAGCATAATTCCTGACAGCGTGATAAATTTCTTTTATAATCAAATCATGTCTTCGCAATGTCTCGATTCTGGTTTCATTTAAAGTATCTTCAAAGTATATGTAGTAGTGGCTATTACGGGAATCGTACATCTTCAATTTATCCATATTACTTACGTGGAATACGTTCGTATTGTGATTTGCGAATATCTGCTTTAGTGACTTGTATGGGTTACGCACCGCTGGGAAATACCTAACTCGCTCAGTTAATAATCCTTCATGCAAATTAAGATATGGCGTACCCTTAATATCCCTACTACTTATGTCCTCCGAACATAACATTTCCTCGACAAAAATAACGACCACTTTGCTACTTCTCAACGAATCTTGAAGAATATCTAGGAAAAATTCATTAGACATTTTAACGAGCGGATTAGGTTCAACTTTTACGTGAGTCAGGACTCTATCAAAATCTAACATAAATACTGGTAGATTTATATGTCCTTTAGTTGTTCTTAGGAAGTAGATTAATATTATAAAAATATGCAAACGCATTTTCCTTATTTATTTATGTATTAATAAATAATATTTAGCTATTTTCTAAAATATGCCTTATGACAGCTTTATTTTTACACAATTAGTTTTCTATTTTTGAAGTTTTTGTCAGATTAAAATGGCTAATTGTAAAAGATTGCGAAATTTTCATTAAAATAATGTGATGCTATATTATTATTTTGTAGTAATTTGAATATAATTAATATCTTATTAAATATTTAAAAGCTTATTTTTAAATTTTTGTAAATTGTAGTAAAGTTTACTTTTATGCGGTATTTTAATAGAAAAACACGACCTGGCAATACTGCTTCAACCATAGACGAGCACGCGTCAAACTAATCATATGATCACTTTTCACATGACCGATGGTCAATCGTCATCGCTCATTTCTTGTCGTTTTATGACAATTTTTGGGCTAAAACTTTACTTTTAGTCCCCATACGTCCACTAGTTATAGTTAAAAAATCCATTGAAAATGGCGTACTGCCGTTTAGTGTTCCCTTTATTAGTGCTAAGTGTGGTCCAGAGCTACGCCTCATCCGTGCCTGTGTTTCTATGGGGCGATTTATCTAAAACATCATTGAAATCTAACCCTCTGACTGCTGTATCTCCAAAGGAATTCGATTATGTATTAAAAGAGGAGCTTTCAGGTGATCCTTTCACTGTTATTTTTATAGAGGAGACGCTGTCAGTTGAAGATTTTTCAAGTAAAACTTCGGATGGTGAAGTTCCCTTGAGATATTTACGCGCCAACCTTGGTGATTCGTATTATTTATCATCTGTAACGGATGCACTTGAAGCATTAAACAGTTTCGCCGACGTTGAAAAGGAGAATCACGTTAAATTAACTGAAAATGGTTTATCAGCGGAAATCGAACCTGAAGGAGGTAATTTCCTATTTATCGAGCTTAAAGATGCCAACGAGAGGGACTCACGAGCTGATCTGCTGCGTAGACACAATGAGTTTATGGAGGATATGTTCGCTAAGTTACACAATCGTTATGAGAAAGTTGTAGCGATATACACTGCCCGGAACCCATCATGGACTGTCTCAGAAAGTCATCGTGTACGTCGTCAGGCTACCGAAGACAACAAGATGTACAGATTAGATGGACTTTTACTATATGTAGAGGAAATATTGCTCACCGAATCTAACCAGACAACTCATTTGGACAACCTTGAAAGCAGCACTAGTACATTTAATGACACAACCAATACCATGAGCACAGACATGAAGTTTGGAGCTGACAATATCCAACTTAACTTTGTACACAAGAATGGTTATTGGACATTTGGTGAGTTCATTTTACTAACAGTACTTATTTAAAGCTATAAACTATAAGTTAAGCACTTGATAGGCAATCTGCAGGTCCTGGGTTTGAATCATAACTCTTTGATTATAATTATGAATTAAGTTATAAAATATTTTGGCAGCCCAAGAATAAGAGAATGAGATTTATTGCTATTTAGTATAAGAAATAGAAACAAAACATAAACTTATGATATTAGTAGCTTTCGTTTTAAATTTTCATGATGCAAGCCTGCATTTGTCACGAGTTATCTCTGGAACCGGTGGACGGATTTTGACATGACTTTACAGGAAGGTAGCTGATGAACGTAGTCATGTAGACTACTGTCTAATTCTATGCTGGCAAAGTATAAAGTTTGCTATAATAATAATCTAATAAATCTTTATATTTTTCAGAGACGGTTGTGTTAACCAGATCGAGCTTGACCAAAGTATTGTACCCGGAGATTGAAGTTTACTCATTAACCGATTGGTCGTACAGATGCGGTGAAAGGGTAACATTTAACAGCATCAATGGGACAATCAGCTATTCACTCACCTTTAGAGATATGGAGGTATGTTATTTTGTAATAGAACCTAATAACCTATAATAGTTTAGTACAATCTTGCAAGAAAGTTTTAATAAGTTATTCCATCTAGGTTTAAATATTACAGGCGATACCATAAGATAATTTGTATTGTTGGTTGTATGTTTTTATATATCATAAGGTGGCAAACAAGCGAGCGGCCACCTGAAATCACTGAAATAGCAAAGTGACCGTTGCCCATAGACATACGCAATTAATCCACGGAGGAGAGGATGCACAGAAACAAAATATTTTCTCTTCCCATCCTCACATCCGTAAAGTCTTCTTCCAATTGCCATCCTTTCCTTATAAGAAAAAGGATGGGAAGGGAAAGAGGACTAAATGAGGCCTCCGGGACGCACACTCATCAAACGAAACGCGGAATTACTTCCACTTGACGCGTGTCTTCTGTGTGGTCGAGGTATTTCACCGGGCGAGCCGGGCCAATTCGTGCGAACATGTTAAAGCGGGCTCTACCACTGTTAAAATAAAATGTATGTATATATGTAGCTATCAAGAGCATTTGATCTGATCACTGTGTCGATAGACAATGTCGTAATATAACTAGCTGCTGCGTCTCCGTCTGCGCGGAAATAAAAATTAATTCATTTAGTAGTCTATGTGTTCTAGACTATGTTCTATACCAAATTTCAGATCCATGCATTCGTTTTGGAGATATATTCAAGCAAACATCCATCCATACATCAAAACATTCGCATTTATAATGTTAGTAAAATTGTTAGCTGTCCCCCGCGACTTCGTCAGCGGAAAATTGCAAAAAGAAAACATAATTTTGTTCTTCATCATTATATGTTCTTTCAGTTTATAATCTGTAGCTGGACATCCATGTAGCTGGAGATAATTTCTAACAAACATACATCCAAATATTCGCATTTATAATATTAGTAAGATTGAAAATACTACATATTAACTTTAACTATGTGAAATTTCATGTTCATTCGCTAAATTTCCTTAAAAAGGGGTGTACAAAGTATTCGTTATTAGTATAATGATTAACAAGTATGTATTGGGAACGGCGGCTGTGCGGCGACAGTCAGTCTGGCGCCGCGGCGGGTAACGCGATCGATCCTAGCGTTCAACGTCCAAATGTAGGGTGACCATGCTATACTGGGTGTACAAAATTCAAATTGAATGAGACATTTTAGCCGACTTCAAAAAGGAGCATGTCGATTAGTCCGTTTATTTTAAAGTAAAATAGATTAAGCTATAGTTCACAGGAATGTAGAGCCAATGAATAAAATCGCTTCTCACTTGGGATCATAGAGAGTTAACAAAATTTTATCTCGTATACTTTCTAATTTCTTTATTACGTATGTTTTAATTTATTATGGAATTTGTACAGTTATATCTTTTCTTTTGTTCCTTTCTTTTGTTCCTTTCTTTTGTATATTTATCTTATATATAAAATTCTCGTGTCACAATTTTCGTTCCCATACTCCTCCGAAACGGCTTGACCGATTCTCATGAAATTTTGTGAGCATATTGAGTAGGTCTGAGAATCGGCCAACATATATTTTTTAATACCACGCAGACGAAGTCGCGGGCGACATCTAGTGTTGCTATAACAAGTTCTAGATATAACGACAATATGTTAAATTTCATTGTTATAGCAACTATGCAGATATGAACGTACTCAAAATTTTCAATTTATTTATTTATAAATCATAAAAATACGGAGTCCTTCGTTGTTTAGAAAATTATTAGGACTGTCCTGAAAAAATATGGATAATCTACAATTCTATTTTTCTTGTATTTCTCAAATGGAGATTAAGTTGGCGTGAGTTAACTCAGTTATTAATAATTTTCTAACACGATAATTATTTGGTTAACGCTTGGAAAGTAAATTAACCTATTTAGATTAATAGAGCGTTAGAAGTTTGTTATATTCTAGAGTTTTTGGTTTGATATAATGTTGCGTATAACAGAATTCTAATATTTTTTCACAGATTCGGAAATGCCAATATTTTCTTTTAATTTGCCTCCGTATATTTATTTCTAGTCACGTACAAAAATATCTTATCACTTTTATATTTAACTAGCTTTTGCCCGCGACTCCGTCCGCGATAAATTACATACAAACGTAATTAGTAGTCTATGTGTTCTTCCAGTCCTATTTTCTATATGTATGCCAATTTTCATCGAGATTCGTTCAACCGTTCTGGAGATATCTTCAAACATCCATCTAAACATTTGCGTTTATAATATTAGTAAGAAGTAAGATTGAAATATTAGGGAACTTTATTTTTAGAAGCTTTTGTGTTTTTAGTTAATCACGAAATAATTTTATTACAGTTTATTTTTCTTTATGTCATTAATCATTAGAGAATTTCTTTAATTTTGTATTATTCACATAAATTATTAATTATAAGTTTTATGAATCCATTTATAGAAATGACGCCGTAATTACAAATCAAATACCCAAATATTTTATCTCTTATTTACAAAGAGACAGACAAAGACGAGGGAGATTCATAAGGAATATCATGTCATAAACATTTTAAAATTCCAGGTTCAACCATTCTTCAAGACGATGAACGCATCGGATCTGGTCTTCGGTGATTCTTTCAACTGCATCGGTTTCTTCTCGGTACCTATCTGGTCAGGTCTGTTCGTTGTCTTCATATTCCTGGCTATCACATTCTATGGTATTATGATGATGATGGATATCCGTACTATGGATCGCTTTGATGATCCTAAAGGAAAGACTATCACTATAAATGCAGCTGAGTAAATTAACCAGCCAGTGTGACCTAAACTACCAACATTGAAAAAAACTACCAACTTTTAAATATTTTTTTAATGGTCACACTAACTGCTGTCACTTGACAGTGACAACCATAGAGCTCAAAAATCTATAGTTTATACGATAAAATGTAGATTTGCGATGGTAGTTTGTAGAATACGAATAATTAAATGAA